CTAAGAGCTAGTGAACGCCAGACCACAGAATAATAATAAGTACTACGTACAGAAGTTTTACTTCGCGAAGGTATTTAAAGAAATGTATGCTCAATGTCATTAACAATATGGTGTAATTTAGCCTGCCTCAAGAGTCAAGCACCATTTTGTTGACAAGCGTCAGTGATCGGCATTGCGCCGAAGCTATAGGGCTGACTTCGGTAAAATGATGTGACGTGAGGTGCCAAACTGCGGAAAATGGCGGAGGAAATACATGATTTAGCATGAATTATCATGAATAATATTAACTACTTATTTACCTCTCAGCGTCTTGAGGCAACTTAAAAAAGTACATTCTGTGTTTTTATTATTATTTAGGTAGTTAAATACTGCACAGTATTTAGTACACCATTTTCTTTATTTTCTTCCATCATACACAAGAATACGCGTACGTGAGTCAATGTTCGCTCGTATGTGAGGCCTTGTCGAATAGTATTCTGTAGGTGGGCCATCGTGCGTGTTTTGTTTTGGATGTAAACTCGCGGAGATGAACAGGCCTGGTATTCGCCGCGGCCGCGGCTTCACCCGCATGAAATTTTGTGCCACAGATTGGCATACATTATCGCCCATAATATATGTTAATCTGGGTTACTAATAATAATACACTTATCCGCACCGTAATGTAAACGCCTCGCCTCGCGGTTGACAGCGCGAAAGGCGATGACAGCTGGGGTTGAAAAGTGTGCTATGACCTAAAATGAACTGATGATGATGATGATAATGATGATGATTGTCGGCCGTTTGGTGTAGTGGTTCGAAACGGACTACTATTCCGGAGGTAGCGGGTTCGATTCCCGCACAGTACAAACATTTGTGTGCATGAACATATTTGTTTGTATTGGACTGGGTGTTTTCTATGTATAACTAGCTTTCCGCCCGCGTCTTCGCCCGCGTGGAATTTCGTTTGTTAAATTTTCCTGAATTTTCTTTGCTAAAACCTCACGGAGCCCGAGACCTTTCCAACGAATGCAAAACCGTGGAAATCGGTTCTTGCGTCAGGAGGGAAAACCCGACTTATTACAAGCTTTTTTTTATATACAGGGTGTTAGGTAAATGGGTATATGAGCCGACACTAGCCCATGTTAACATGGTCATATAAATGGTATGGTGAAGTCAGAAAATTGATATCTTTATTTTAATTATTTTAATTTTCATACAAATCGGATTTCATAAAATTTATTTTGTATGAAAATTAGTAGTATAGTAAATACATACTTATGTAAGTATGTATTTACAAAAAAAAAGTATTTAAGTATGTTTATATCCGTTGTCTAGTACCCATAGTACAAGCTTTGCTTAGTTTGGGACTAGAAGCGCAGTGTAAAATGTCCAAGGATATTTATTTGTTTATTTTATTTATGATGATGCATGTGGACTCACTCACCCAGTCACAGCGAGGGAGCCGTCAATTTGGAAGGCGACACTGTACACAGGTTTTGCGTGTCCCTCTTGATGCAGGACTTCAGTTGCTGAAAACAAAAAATTAAGATTTAAAGCGCGCCATAGTTAAAGCAAGCCCTGTGACGTCAAGGCGTGCTTAAATAAAAGTGTAGCACTTTGTGACGGAACTTCAACGCATCATAACTTCGTAATTACTTGTTTGATTAATATACAGGGTGGAATTTTGTAATGCCACCTGGAGGGAAAGTACTCGTAATACTGATAGAACATTTTAGTGAAAGAAAAGATTCCTTTATTTTTGAAAAGAAAGAGAACTGCATTCAAAAATTTTCGAAAATTTTTCGAAAATTCACTACCATACCATACAATTTTCTGTACATAATTAAAATAATTTAACATTTCATGGTTTTCTTTTCATTTGATATATCAAGTTTGTTAGAGAGATTATACAGGGTGTTTCTTGTAAGGTGTCAAGCCGAAGGCAGGTGATAAGTGAGGACTAGACCTATCGATTTCATCCCCATGTATGTTCTACGATTTTTCGTAGTTTAGAAGTTATCGTTAATTTTGTGATTTTTTCAAATTTTATGACCTAGTGGCTTAATTTTTTTTTATCTTTTTTTGGGTTGACTTTTGTCAGATTTCTTTTTTTTGACAGATTCCCTATTAGTTGCAGATATTTGAAAAAAATAATCACCTTCCTATCTTTGATGCAAGATACATAATTATTGCTAGAAACATAAAAAATAGGCTTTTAGCAGAACATTCTAAAATTTTCAACTGAAATGTATGAGAAAAAAAAAGAATTTCCATAGGTCCAAAATAATTTTAAAAACTGCGCAGTTTTGTCTGTGGTCTAGTGGTAAGACTACCTATGTAGGACAGCCAATTCCTCTGTGGTTTAGGATTCCGGGTGAAGCTCGCTGATCATCCATCAGTTTCCAACTTTCCATCAGGTCAGATGAAGGGCAAGAGCTTCCTCGTTGTGGATAAAAAAAATTCTGTTCAGTTATTGTCTCTAAACGTGTTCTACGTAACGTAAACTTAGTGGATTGCAAACATTAGTTAGTCCTAAGAAAGTCAAAAACATGTAACGGAATCTCCGACTTACTACTTTAGTAGAGCGATTACAGAAAATAATGGCCTATTAAGTACATGTTTTTTTGTGTTATTATGAAAGTTCAGAAAACTGCGCAGTTTTTAAAATTATTTTGGACCTATGGAAGTTCTTTTTTTTTTCAAACTTTTAAGTTGAAAATTTTTGAATGTTCTGCTAAAAGCCTATTTTTTATTTTTCTAGCAAACATTTTGTATCTTGCATCAAAGGTAGGAAGGTGATTATTTTTTTCAAACATCTGCAATTACTAGGGAATCTGTCAAAAAAAAAGAAATCTGAGAAAAGTTAACCCAAAAAAAAGATAAAAAAATTTAAAGTATACTAGGTCATAAAATTTTAAAAAATCACAAAATTAACGATAACTTCTAAACTACGAAAAATCGTAGAACATACATAGGGGTGAAATCGATAGGTCTAGTCCTCACCTATCACCTGCCTTCGGCTTGACACCTTACAAGAAACACCCTGTATAATTACGCGCGAGCGATAAGGATGGGTAGCTTGGGGTCATTGGACAAAATTCTACGTACTCACGGACCAGGCTTTATCAACACACAGCCCAAACCACTGGACGGATCGGGCTGAAATTTGGCATGCAGGTAGATGTAGACGTAGGCATCCGCTAAGAAAGGATTTTACGAAACTCCACCCCTAAGGGGGTAAAACGGGATCTACGCGTACGAAGTCGCGGGCGGCCGCTAGTCAGAAATAAAGATTAAGATTAAAAATTAAGATTAAGAACAGAAATTTTTGACATTTAAATGACTTGGCGCCTTAGCGAGTGACTTGGCGCCGTTACTAGAAACAGCGTATGACTTGGCGCCATTACTAGTGACAGTATATGACTTGGCGCCATGACAGGCCGCTAGTCAGAAATAAAGCATTAAACTTTCATTCGTCGGCCGTTTGGTGTAGTGGTTCAGAACGGACTACTATGCCGAGAGGTCCCGGGTTCGATTCCCGGCCGGGTAGAAATTGAAATGATGAATTTTAATTTCTGTGACGGGTCTGGGTGTTACTATGTATAATATGTATGTACATATTTAAAAAAAAAGTATATAAGTAGTATATCCGTTAAGCTAGCCCCCATAACACAAGCATTAAGTTGCGTTTATTACCTAAATAATAAAATTTCCTGCTCTCATTAGCCTAAAAATAGATTGACTCATAATAGTTTAAGTTTCTGTTTATTTGTTTTATCTTTACGCCTTGCGTATACTGTGCAAAGTTGTTCACCTCACCCGAATGTTTTTAATTCTACCGTTAGCAATATTTAACGCCAGCGTTAAACTCAAACGCACGCATTGCAAAATGTACCTTATGCCTAGGACGATTTTATCATTACCTTGCCGTAACACAGTCTTGCACTAGTGCGGAAGGTAAAGGATTGTGTTTCTGTACCTACCTACATTTTTCTAATAAAATTGTATTGCTTTAAAATTGGTTTTAAGTTAAATAAGAGATACAGTTAGTTATTTAACTATTTTTCGGTTTGTACAAATTGTAACATTATGCACAATAAACTTATTTGTATTGTATTGTATTGTATTGCTTACTTTGGGGCTAGCTGGCGCTGTGTGAAATTGTCCAAAGATTATTTATTTATTAAACTCACCGGTCTCCAAATCCCAAAGCCGCCAGGAGTGGTCAAACACTGTGGTGGCCAGGAATCGTCCCGAAGGGTGGAACTCCGCGCGGGACACGCGGGATGGCCCGTGCCCGTCTAGGGACGCCATCGGGGCCTCGCTGCGGGACACAAAAAATACATTCTTCAGCAAGTGAATTGGCGTCGTTACTAGCGACAGCGTATGACTCGGCGCCGTTACTAGTGACAGTGTATATGACTTGGCGCCACTATGTAGCGATTTGGTGCCAATATCTAATATCTTGGCGCTATTAACTAGTGATAACTAGTGACTTGGCGCCACTAGCTAGTCACTTGGCGTCACTAGTTAGTGTCTAGGTACCATCACTAGTGATAGCGAGTGATTTGGCGCCACTATCTTGTGTCTTGGCGCCACTAGCTAGAAACAGCATATGACTCGGCGCCACTGGCGAATGACTTGGCGCCACTGGCAAATGACTTGGCGCCACTGAAAAGCGACAGTAGGTAACTTGGCGCCTCTATCTTGTGACTTGGCGCCATCATTAGTGTCAAAGTATGATTTGGCGCCACTAAATAGCGACTTGGCGCCACTAGCTAGAAACAGCTTATGACTTGGCGCCACTAATCAGTGACTTGGCCGCCAGGAGTGGTCAAACACTGTGGTGGCCAGGAATCGTCCCGAAGGATGGAACTCCGCGCGGGACACGCGGGATGGCCCGTGCCCGTCTAGGGACGCCATCGGGGCCTCGCTGCGGGACAAAGAGAGAAGTAAAGTTAAACACAGTAAACTAAGACTTGGCGCCACTACGACGTGACTTGGCGCCACGGTCGTGTCACTTGGCGCCACTAGCTAGTCACTTGGCGCCACTAGCTAGTGACAACAAGTAACTTGGCGCCACTAGATAGTGACAGAGTCTTAGCGCCACTAGCAGACAGCAAGCGACTTGGCGCCACTAGCTAGTGACTTGGCGCCACTACCTAATGTTCTAAAGGGTGGAACTCCGCGCGGGACACGCGGGATGGCCCGTGCCCGTCTAGGGACGCCATCGGGGCCTCGCTGCGGGACAAAGAGAGAAGTAAAGTTAAACACAGTAAACTAAGACTTGGCGCCACTACGACGTGACTTGGCGCCACGGTCGTGTCACTTGGCGCCACTAGCTAGTCACTTGGCGCCATTACTAGTGACAGAGAGTGACTTGGTGCCGCTAGCTAGTATCTAGGTACCATTACTAGTGACAGCGATTCCATAATCAAGTGAATTGGCGCCACTAACTAGTGACTTGGCGCCTCTAGCTAGTGGAATGGCGCCTCTAGCTAGTGACTTGGCGCCTCTAGCTAGTGACTTGGCGCCTCTAGCTAGTGACTTGGCGCCTCTAGCTAGTGACATGGCGCCTCTAGCTAGTGACATGGCGCCTCTAGCTAGTGACTTGGCGCCATCTCCATCGCTTCAGGCGTGTCCGAAGTCCCATCTTTTGTACATCAGACTAACTATCTTGGTGTTAAGTTAGTAACTTGGCGCCCCCTAGAGAGTGACTTAGCGCCACTAGTTTGTGACTTGGCGCCACTAGATAGTGACAACAAGTAACTTGGCGCCACTAGATAGTGACAGAGTCTTAGCGCCACTAGCAGACAGCAAGTGACTTGGCGCCACTAGCTAGTGACTTGGCGCCACTACCTAATGTTCTAAAGGGTGGAACTCCGCGCGGGACACGCGTCTAGGGACGCCATCGGAGCCTCGCTGTGGGACACAAAATGAGTTAGGGCTAAGTAAAGACACGCTAAACTAAGCCTTGGCGCCACTACGACGTGACTTGGTTCCAATAGCTAATGGCAGCGGTAGCTATGCGCCACTAAATAACGATTTGGCGCCACTAACTGGTGACTAGGTGACATTACTAAGGACAGCGGTGACTTGGCGCCACTAGCTAGTGACAGCGAGTGTCTTATCCCAGAGCGATGGCCCGTGCCCGTCTAGGGACGCCATCGGGGCCTCGCTGCGGGACAAAGAGAGAAGTAAAGTTAAACACGGTAAACTAAGACTTGGCGCCGACTTGGCGCCACGGTCGTGTCACTTGGCGCCACTAGCTAGTCACTTGGCGCCACTAGCTAGTCACTTGGCGCCACTAAAGTGACTCGGCCCTATAAATAGCGTTTTGGCGCCACTAACTAGTGACTTGGCGCCGTTATGAGTGACAAAGTATGACTAGGCGCCACTAATCAGTGACTTGGCGCCGGTGGCCAATGACTTGGCGCCGTTACTAGTGACAGCATAAAACTTGGCGCCACAGGCGAGTGACTTGACGCCTCTAGCTAATGACTTGGCGCCACTTAATAGCGACTTGGCGCCACTACCTAATGACAGTGTCCTATCCCAGCCGCCAGGAGTAGTCAAAAACTGTGGTGGCCGGAAATCGTCCCGAAGGGTGAAATTCCGCGCGGGACACGCGGGATGGGCCGTGCCCGTCTAGGGACGCCATCGGGGCCTCGCTGCGGGACACACAAAATAAGTTAGGGCTCTTCTCGGTACAATTAAAACACTTGCCAGTGACTTGGCGCCAGTAAATAGTGAATTAGCGCCATTATGACATAGCTAGTGACACACAAAATACATTCTTCATAAGTCAATTGGCGCCATTAGCGGGTGACTTCGCGCCACTATCGAATGACACCAAGCAACTTGGCGCCGCTAGAAAGTGACAGCGGGTGACTTGGCGTCACTGGATAGTCACTTTGCATCATTGGCTAGTCTTCAATGCGCCACTAGCTAGTCACTTGGCGCCACTTAAGTGACTCGGCGTCACTAGTTAGTGTCTAGGTACCATTACTAGTGACAGCGGGTAATTTGGCGCCTCTAGCTTGCGACTTGGCGCTATTACTAGTGATAGCGAGTGATTTGGCCTCTATCTTGTGACTTAACGCCACTGGCTAGTGACTTGGCGCCACTAGCCAGTAATTTGGCGCCATTGGCCAGTGTATGACAGTGTATGACTTGGCGCCACTTAATAGCGACTTGGCGCCACTACCTAATGAGGAGTGGTCAAACACTGTGGTGGCCAGGAATCGTCCCGAAGGGTGGAACTCCGCGCGGGACACGCGGGATGGCCCGTGCCCTTCTAGGGACGCCATCGGGGCCTCGCTGCGGGACACACAATGGGTTAGGGTTAAGTTACACACACACGTCACACACAACACACTTAACTAAGACTTGGCGCCACTAAAGTGACTCGGCCCTATAAAAAGCGATTTGACGCCACTAACTAGTGACTTGGCGCCATTACTAGTGATAGCATAAAACTTGGCACAACTGGCGAGTGACGGCGCCATTAAATAAAAACTTAGCGCCACTAGCTTGTGTCTAGGTGCCATTACTGGTGACAGCTTATGACTTGGCGCCACTAGCTTGTGACTTGGCGCCATTACTAGTGACAGAGCGACTTGGCGTTACTAAACAGTGACTTGGCGCCACTATTGTTTGGAATTGGCGCCACTAGCGCGTCAATTGGCGCCCCTAGCTTGAAATAGTATGACTTGGGGCGCCACTAGATAGTGACAGCGAATGACTTGGCGCCACTAATCAGTGACTTGGCCGCCAGGAGTGGTCAAACACTGTGGTGGCCAGAAATCGTCCCGAAGTTAGAAAAATAGACACACAACGAGTTAGGGCTAAGTAAAGTTAAACACGCTAAACTAAGACTTAGCGCCACTATGACGTGAGTTGTCACCACTAGCTAGCGGCAGCGGTTACTTGGCGCCGCTGGCCAATGACTTGGCGCCGTTACTAGTGACAGCATAAAACTTGGCGCCACTGGCGAGTGACTTGACGCCTCTAGCTAAAGACTTGGCGCCACTACCTAATGACAGAGTGTCCTATGCTATGCTGCCAGGAGTGGTCAAACACTGTAGTGTTACATTACTGGTGACAGCTTTGACTTGGCGCCTCTAGCTTGCGACTTAGCGCCACTGGCGACTGACATGGCGCCATCATTAGTGACAAAGTATGACTTGGCGCCACTAATCAGTCATTTGGCCGCCAGGAGTGGTCAAACACTGTGGTGGCCAGGAATCGTCCCGACGGGTGAAACTCCGCGCGGGACACGCGGGATGGCCCGTGCCCGTCTAGGGACGCCATCGGGGCCTCGCTGCGGGACACAAAGAGAGAAGTAAAGTTAAACACGGTAAACTAAGACTTGGCGCCGACTTGGCGCCACAGTCGTGTCACTTGGCGCCACAAGCTAGTCACTTGGCGCCACTAAAGTGACTCGGCCCTATAAATAGCGATTTGGCGCCACTAACTAGTGACTTGGCGCCGTTATGAGTGACAAAGTATGACTAAGCGCCACTAATCAGTGACTTGGCGCCGGTGGCCTATGACTTGGCACCGTTACTAGTGACAGCATAAAACTTGGCGCCACTAGCTTGTGACATGGCGCCTCTAGCTAGTGACATGGCGCCACTAGCTAATGACAGCGAGTGTCCTATCATATGCCGCCAGGAGTGGTCAAGCACTGTGGTGGCCAGGAATCGTCCCGAAGGGTGAAACTCCGCGCGGGACACGCGGGATGGCCCGTGCCCGTCTAGGGACGCCATCGGAGCTTCGCTGTGGGACACAAAAAATACATTCTTCATAAGTGAATTGGCGCCATTAGATAGCGAGTTGGCGCCACTGGCGAGTCACTTGGCGCCAATGTACCTACCTGCTGAAGTTCCATACATACACGGTCCCGTCATAGGCACAGGACACTATTATAGTGACTTGGCACCACTAGATAGCGAGTTGGCGCCACTGGCGAGTCACTTGGCGCCACTCTACCCCACTCTACCTAACTAGTGACAACAAGTGACTAGGCGCCACTAGATAGTGACAGAGTAACTTGGCGCCACTAGATAGTAACTTGGCGCCACTATATAGTGAGTTGGCGCCACTAGATAGTGAGTTGGCTCCACACTACCTACCTGCTGAAGTTCCATAGATACACGGTGCCGTCATAGGCGCAGGACACTATTATAGTGACTTGGCGCCACTAGCGAGTCACTTGGCGCCCCTAGCTAGTGAGTGAATTTTAATCTTGTAAGTGTAATAGCTAGTGAGTGAATTGTGGCGCCATTGACAGTTTGACTTGGCGCCACTATATAGTCACTTGGCGCCACTACCTACCTGCTGAAGTTCCACAGATACACGGTGCCGTCATAGGCGCAGGACACTATTATAGTGACTTGGCGCCACTAGCGAGTCACTTGGCACCACTATATAGTGACTTGGTGCCACTGGCGAGGCACTTGGCGCCACTCTACCCCACTCTACCAAACTATTGACAACAAGTGACTAGGCGCCACTAGATAGTGACATCAAGCATCATGGCGCCACTACCAAGTAACACCAACCGACTTGGCGCCACTATTGTAGTGACTTGGCGCCACTGGCGAGTCACTTGGCGCCATTAGCTACGTACCTACTGAAGTTCCATAGATACACGGTGCCGTCATAGGCGCAGGAGGCCATGGTGCACGCGGCAGACTTTTCGTCGGTTTCCATCGCTTCAGGCGTGTCTGATGTGCCTTCTTTGGTGTTCTTAATCTGTATGGAAAAATAAGAAAATAATATACAGGGTGGTTTTGTAAAACTACGCCCATCTCATGGGTAGTACACATTAAAGTAATGAGGGCTATCGTTTTTATACTTAACAGTTGGCACCCCTGGCGATTGACAGGACCTTACTCTACAGTGGCGCCATCTTGATGAGTGCAAATGCGATAGTCCTCCTACCACTTTAGCGCTCACCAGTTGGTGCCACTGTCTTCGCTACTAGCAAGTGACAGGACCTTACTCTACTCAGTGGCGCTAACTGGTGAGCGCTAAAACGATAGCCCTCATTACAAGAAAATATACAGGGAATTTTGTAATGCCACCTAGAGAGAAAGTACTCTTAATACTGTAGATAGAAAAATTTACTGAAAGAAAACATTCCTTTATTTTTGAAAAGAAAGAACTGCATTTAAAGATTTTCGAAAAATTATCGAAAATTCACTACCATACCATACAATTTTCTGTACATAATTAAAATAATTTAAGATTTCATGGTTTTCTTTTCATTTGATTTATCAAGTTTGTTAGAGAGATTTCATCCTTATACTTAACCCTAACGATTGATGTAAAAAAATACAGGGTGAAATTTTTAACAGATTTTAGTTGGTTCGATTCCCGGGTGTGGTAAGCAAAATTTTCAAGAAATGGTGAAGGTATGATTGAGAATTTTCAGAAATCTTTGACTGCAGTTCTATTTCTTTTCAAAAATAAAGCAATGTTTTTTTTGAGAAATTGTTTCTAGCTACAATAATAAGAGTACTTTCCCTCCAGGTGGCATTACAAAATTCCACCCTGTATAAGTCCCCGCGCGTTTTTGATTTTTCACAATTAATACTAAAGCCCGGTCTGTGAGCACGTAGAATTTTGTCCAATGACCCCTAGCTACGCATCCTTATCGCTCGCGACTGTGCGACGGGCGCCGGCAGTGAGTGTGCGAGCGCGACAGCAATATAATTACGCGCGAGCGATAAGGATGGGTAGCTTGGGGTCATTGGACGAAATTCTATCTGCTCGGCGACCGGACTCTATCTAATTTAATTCGACAATACCTTATCTCTAAAGTGGTTAGGCAGCGCGGCCTGTGGATGGAACACAGCACTGCTGACGTTGCAAGAGTGACCTTTGAGGACTTGCAGCGGCGTGCAGTCCGGTACTGACCAGACCTTGCTGAGTCCTGACCTGAGAGGTAGATAAATAAAAACTAATAATCCCAACTAATATTATAAATGCGAAAGTAACTCTGTCTGTCTGTCTGTCTGTTGCGCTTTCCCGCTTAAACCTCGCAACCGATTTTAATGAAATTTGGCATAGAGATAGTTTGAGTCCCGGGAAAGAACATAGGATAGTTTTTATCCCGGTTTTTGAAACAGGGACGCGCGCGATAAAGTTTTTCTGTGACAGACAAAATTCCACGCGGGCGAAGCCGCGGTCGGAAAGCTAGTAGATAATAAAATTAAACAAAAAAGTAAAAAAAAAATGCAATCTTGCTAAATAAAATCATTACTTTTTGATGTGGTCAAATATTCACCCTGTATAGTGTCAACCAACAAAAAGGTTGATTCTACTGCTCAAATGCAACTGTCCCCAAGAGGTCTTTTTTATACAGGGTGTTAGGTAAATGGGTATATGAGCCGACACTAGCCCATGTTAACATGGTCATATAAATGGTATGGTGAAGTCAGAAAATTGATATCTTCATTTTAATTTTCATACAAATCGGATTTTATAAAATTTCTTTCGNGTTAACATGGTCATATAAATGGTATGGTGAAGTCAGAAAATTGATATCTTCATTTTAATTTTCATACAAATCGGATTTTATAAAATTTCTTTCGTATGAAAATTTTAAAAATTAAAATGATGATATCAAATTCCTGACTTCACCATACCATTTATATGACCATGTTAACATGGGCTAGTGTCGGCTCATATACCCATTTACCTAACACCCTGTATAGGGTGGAATTTTGCAATGCCACCTGTAGGGAAAGTGCTCTTAAACGCATGTTTTACTCAAAGAAAACATTCCTTAATTCTTTTTAAGAAATGGTGAAGGTATGATTGAGAATTTTCAGAAATCTTTGAACGCAGTTCTCTTTCTTTTCAAAAATAAAGGAATGTTTTCTTCAAGCAAAATTTTCTATCTACAGTATTAATCATAATAATAATCATAATATCTTTATTGCTTCATGTGGTACAAACAAGGTATCCCAACTATCCCAACTAATCCCAACTAATATTATAAATGCGAAAGTAACTCTGTCTGTCTGTCTGTCTGTCTGTTACGCTTTCCCGCTTAAACCTCGCAACCGATTTTGATGAAATTTGGCATAGAGATAGTTTGAGTCCCGGGAAAGAACATAGGATAGTTTTTATCCCGGTTTTTGAAACAGGGACGCGCGCGATAAAGTTTTTCTGTGACAGACAAAATTCCACGCGGGCGAAGCCGCGGGCGGAAAGCTAGTAATAATCATAATATCTTTATTGCTTCATGTGGTACAAACAAGATATTAAAAATAAAACAGTCCCAGAACATGAGCGCTGTGAGGGCATTGCAACATTATACATAATATTAATTTAAGCAGTAGAATTAATCCTTTATGTTTGTCCCACCAATGGGTCATCCTGTATTTACTTACCAACTTGAAGTTATGAGCATTTGACTGTCGCTGCTGAATCTGCAAAAGCTGATTGGCCGAGTGTCGCCAATCTGAAATGAATATACAATGTTTTCTAATACGTCACTCTATTTATTAAAAAAAAGTTTTATTGGTATTTATTCAAATTCAAAGACGTTTATTGCATGCACATTTATTTCAGTTTTTTATGGATAGATTTACTTTATTTTTGTAGTGCATAATGCAAGAACTAACTAAACTAAACTAAGAATAAATAGTAATTTCAAAATGTAAACACAAAAAGAAATTCAATTTAAGTTGTTCAGCTATACAGTGTAAGTCACGTTAAAGTGTACATATGAAAATAGATGGAACTAGACCTGTTTTTATCGACAAAAAAGAGGTAAAAATTTTTTTGAGATTGATTTTTTATAGATTTTTTTTCTTCCAATTACTTATTGTAAACAAAACGTAATAACTTTTAAACTAAGCGGTATATCCTGATAAAATAAAAACAGTAATAATGCTAAATAATAGGCGATACTAAAAAAATACATAAAATGCACAAAAAAGGCCAACAACAAATAATAAAAAATGACACTTTTTGAAACAAATTGGCCCAATAACCGGTGAATTTTATTACTTTGTATTATTATCTGTCGTATTACCTTCGTAAAACCAAAAATCGCATGTATCTATCCCTACCACAACGTTTGCAATGATCGTTTGAACTAAGCCTCTCCGGGCGCGCCATTCAACGCTTCGTTAACAACGAAACTGAAAATGGCTCTAGATTTTAAAGTTAGATTTCAAATAAAAACAAAAGATTTGGAATTAAATTAAACATTTTAGTTAAAATTAAAATTGTCTCTACCTGTAGCGGAGAATAATGTTGTGGCAGGCCTTTGTTCAAACGATCATAGCAAATGTTGTCGATTTTTTCCACATTTTTTAACATAGTAACTAAATAAGACGCAATATAAAAATTTCATCCGTTAAAAGCCCTCAAGTTATTTCTGAACTTTAGTTTAGTAAAGGATTTAGAATCTCAAATCGCTTATTTTAAAAATAAAACCATAAATAGAAAACGAATAGAGGTAACTTTGGGAATTTATTCTATCGAGTCAACTTCATCAAATCGTGTTTCCATCCGTTAATAGCCCTAGAAAATATCCTCAACTATGCCCAATAAAAAACTTGGCCTTTAATTTTACTGTTTAGTACCTCAAAAATGAAAAATGAAAACCTCATTTTCGCCATTTTCTCTGCTACCCGGCCTTAAGCGTCCGGCTCAAAACGTCCATTGGTCTAATCAAAGCGTCTAATTTGAAACAGCCCTAAGGAAGAAATATAGGATCATCAGGTCTCTTCATCCCGTCTGGCCAATGTGGAGTTTAGGTAGACCAAAAATACTTTATTTGAGTCTGATAAATTGGAGAGGGTCATGTTTGTGCAGACTAATGATGAGGACGTCCAAGTTATTCCCTATACCTATTCCTGAGCATCGTGCAAATTGCCTAAAGTCCGGTCGCCGAGCAGATAGAATTTTGTCCAATGACCCCAAGATACCCATCCTTATCGCTTGCGCGTAATTATATTGCTGTCGCGACTGTGCGACGGGCGGCCGCAGTGAGTGTGCGAGCGCGACAGCAAATTACGCGCCGCCGATAAAGATAGGCTTTTGGGGTCATTGTACGAATATACATCTGCTCGGCGACCGGATTTTGACGAAATGTAATTTCTTGTCTCGAATGTAGCCACGATAGCCGATAGTTTATATCCCGGTTTTTGAAACAGGGACGCGCGCGATAAAGTTTTTCTGTGACAGACAAAATTCCACGTGGGCGAAGCCGCGGGCGGAAAGCTAGTTGCTAATAATCTTTAAATAAAATGTGTTTGAGGGATACTCACGCCTTGTAGATGTCCTGTATGCGCGTGTAGATGAACTCCTTGGCGAGGTAGTAGCCGACGGACGAGCGCGTGATCGACGTGATGACCAGCGCCGCGTCCTGACGGCGCACCTCCGAGCCTTCGGTTATCGCCCACTCCAGGTACCTGCGGGTTTCAAGGAGTACCTATAGTAATTTGGAGGAGTACCTATAGTAGTTTCAAGGAGTACCTATAGTAATTTGGAGGAGTACCTATAGTAGTTTCAAGGAGTACCTATAGTAATTTGGAGGAGTACCTATAGTAGTTTCAAGGAGTACCTATAGTAGTTTCAAGGAGTACCTATAGTAATTTGGAGGAGTACCTATAGTAGTTTCAAGGAGTACCTATAGTAATTTGGAGGAGTACCTATAGTAGTTTCAAGGAGTACCTATAGTAATTTGGAGGAGTACCTATAGTAGTTTCAAGGAGTACCTATAGTAGTTTCAAGGAGTACCTATAGTAATTTGCCAGCCGACCTCTATAGAGGTGGCAGAGATGTGTCATACCTGCTGTTAGCACATAAACTCTCTCCAGTGGCTCCAAGTAGCTGTGATGCGCACAGCGGCCACACCCCGGCAAACCATGTCGGCTCACGGGCTAAACCTGGATGAGGGGCTTGCCATCTCGGTGGACAAGTTTTATGCGGATCCCTCCCGCAAAGCGCATAAAGTCTGATTTGACGAGGAATGCAACCCACCCACCGCAGATATGCAAATGGGCTTGGAGGACTCGACGATTCAGCAAGGCAAGGTGGATGGCCTGGGGCGATGGTAGAGGGCGCATAGTTACCATCGGCCAGACACATCATCTGACCTCTCTTCCAGTCGTAGCGGTTTTCCGTTCCACTGATTCGAGGAGGGGGAAGACGAGTGCGTGCGCCTGCGTCTGTGCGAACGTTTGCGCACCTTAAATATCCTGCGCACTTGACCGCTTCCGTCTATCATCATCATAGTCATTTATAGAAGAAGTCCACTTTAATCACTCAGGTGATCTTATCCATAGGTGATCAAAGGACACCAAAGTGTCACCAAGAGTCCACTTTGATCACCTGGTTGATCAAATCCAGGTGGTCACAGGGGAATAGACCGTCAGCAGGGATCAAACGAGCTTTCCTCGGATTTCGTATTGGCAGTTCGACGTCGTCACCGTTGGGCTTTAATGGTAACCACCAGTTGGCGCTACTGTCTTAGCCACAAGCAAGTGACAGGAGTACTTTTCAGAGGCGCCAACTCGTGAGTAACTCAGGAAATCGTTGAATTTATGTTTGATATTTGGAAAGCCATTTAGCTTTTTGGTGAGGTAACTATTAGAAACTTAGTTTCGACCCCTTGTTTCCACCACTGCCACCGCTTAACGTCAGAATCTAGAGACTTCTTAGTAAGAATAACAAAATAAGACATAAGGGTAGGTATCACAGATCACAGAAACTAAAGGGAGATGTGACAAGGGGACGGGGCCGGTGACGCAGCAATACGTCCAAAAACAGAACACGCTTTTACATTCACGCTACATTTACGCTTTTTCAACTTGTTGAGGAGGGCCATATCAGTCTAGTGGTGCCAACTGTTAAGCCATGTATTCATTAGGCAACAATTGTTGATAAACACTGTTTATAAATTGTTCATAAACAATTTTTCATAATGTTTCATCATCTGAATGTTAGACTGTTTATAAACTGTTTACAGAAACAGTTTTTATAAACTGTTTATACAGTCCATAAACGTAGGTGATGAAACATTGTTTATGATACATGTTGCCGTGCTCCCCGCTATGAGTGGAGAGCAAGTGTGGACGGCCAAATTTCAGAAACCTGTGTTTATGGTAAACTTGTTTCACACTAGTCATAAACTGTTTATAAACAAATGTTGCCTAATAAATACATGGCTTTAGTATAAGAATGGCAGCCCTCATTCGACCTTAGGTCGCGCAACGAAAGTTATAAGACAGTTGGACAACACTGAAGTGTCCTCTATGACATTTACAGGAGGGTGTTACCAATACTGGGTTATTAGTTCCAATTTTTGTCACTTGATGTTTCAAAATTTTTACACTATACATATTATTATGTGCATGTTGATTATACACATTTGGGATATTTTTGACCAGAGATTTTGTTTTTACAATGCAAATGGGTGAAGAATACACGTGCGTGCGTCAATACTTGCTTATGATTGTCCTGTCAATTAGGTATCTCAGGAAGTGAAGTCTCGCGTGTTTTGTTTTCGTTGTAAACTCGCATGAATAGGCCTGGTTATACTTGATGTAATTAATTTCATTTCATATTTTTTATTTAACATTCAAAGCAAAAAAGGTTTATTACATCTGAATGAGGGTTTTCGCGAACGAAAGATCCGCTAGATGGCGGGACGTGGATGTGGGGCCTGACTGCTGCGTGATTGGTAGATATTGACATATCTGTCAATGTCATGTCAAAAATAACCAATCATGCAGCATTTGGACCTCGCGTTTACGTATAGTTCCAAAATACTGAACTGTCCTGTGCATGACATTGAGAGTGTGGCGCCACCGTCAATACCGGATCGCTGGTTCCGATTTTTGCCATGTTGGAAACCACATAGTTGAACGATGGTAGCGCCCCCCTGTCATTGAGTTTGGTGGGACAGTTCAGCGTGGGTCATCTATATTGCCATCTGGCGGATTTTTCATTCGCGAAAACCTTCATTGTCCAAAAATGACAGCTGTCAGAATTCTGTCGAATTAAAAATTGGACTTTAAAAGTGTCCACTCACTGCGCCAGTATCCATATCTCCCTGGTGCAGGCCAGGCCTCGCAGCAGTACGTCTCTGGCAGCGGCCACGTTGGAGCGCTGCACCCGCGCGAGGGCGAAGCGCCACTCGCGCACGCCGCCGCGAGCCATCGCCTCGCAGTACACTGTGCGTCGGAGGTCCAGTGGGATACTGTCAATCAAATGAAATTTAATACGTATTTTATTGGCTCAAAAGATAGTGATTTTACAATAAAATATACGAGTGTTACACCTTGCCACGCTATAGTTTAATAATTGCAATATTTATTGAGGATTGAATAAATAAATAATAAATAAATATCTTTGGACAATCTCACACAGCGCCATCTAGCCCCAAAGTAAGCAATTAATATGCTTGTGTTATGGGTGCTAGCTTAACGGATATACTACTTATATACTTTTTTTTAATACATACATATTATACACTAGCTTTCCGCCCGCGGCTTCGCCCGCGTGGAATTTTGTCTGTCACAGAAAAACTTTATCGCGCGCGTCCCTGTTTCAAAAACCGGGATAAAAACTATCCTATGTTCTTTCCCGGGACTCAAACTATCTCTATGCCAAATTTCATCAAAATCGGTTGCGAGGTTTAAGCGGGAAAGCGTAACAGACAGACAGACAGAGTTACTTTCGCATTTATAATATTAGTTGGGATAGTCACACCCAGACCCGTCACAGAAATTAAAATTCATCATTTCAATTTCTGCCCGGCCGGGATTCGAACCCGGGACCTCTCGGCATAGTAGTCCGTTCTGAACCACTACACCAAACGGCCGACTAGTATAGTATTTACAAAAAAAGCGAGAGTGGGAAAAAAGGGGAGAGGGATTTATTAATTGAATTATAAGGAGCTCGGCCGGACACTATTCACAAAAAAGATCTTGCTAGAAAGAGGGGTTACTATGGAAAGAAAGAAGGGTATATTACGACTAAAGCCCGGTCGCCGAACACGTAGAATTTTGTCCAATGACCTCAAGCTACCCATCCTTATCACTCGCGCGTAATTATGTTGCTGTCGCGCTCGCACACTCACTGCGGGCGCGCGTCGCACAGTAGCTTGGGGTCATTGGACAAAATTCTACGTGCTCACAGACCGGGCTTTACTATAAATCTAGCGCTGAATTGAGAGTGCCTGAGATACGGGAACAGCGTAGGAGGGTGTTTTTGAGACGTCAAACGTCAGATATGCTTTAGATTTGTATGCTCTTGTCACGTGTCACGACATAAAATATGCCAATGTAGCCATATACATCGATTCATCCACGAAGACGCGCCCCACCAATTTTTAGTCGAGGAAAGCGCGGGGTGCGGGGATTTCGATCCGAGCAATCCGAGCGGCATTATTTATTTATTTATTTAAACTTTTATGCCAAAATAAATTTGTAAATAAGGCGAACTTAATGCACTAAAGCATTCTCGACCAGTTTACCTTTGGGTTGAGCAGAAAACAAATTTGTTTGGCGGTACTTCTAGTGCAGGAAAGAAAAACAAAAACAAATAATAATATGCTACATCCCAACTAATATTATAAATGCGAAAGTAACTCTGTCTGTCTGTCTGTTACGCTTTCCCGCTTAAACCTCGCAACCGATTTTGATGAAATTTGGCATAGAGATAGTTTCGAGTCCCGGGAAAGAACATAGGATAGTTTTTATCCCGGTTTTTGAAACAGGGACGCGCGCGATAAAGTTTTTCTGTGACAGACAAAATTCCACGCGGGCGAAGCCGCGGGCGGAAAGCTAGTAATAAATAAATACTATTATTGTAGTGTGCGTGTGCACTCATGGATAATTAGACAAAAAATAACGAAAATATTAGCGGAAGAATGGAGGGGCGCGTCTACATGGATGACACGATCTATACCTACTTTGATTTATGTTTTGAAAGGATCAAAATAATGAGGGCTATCGTTTTTATACTTAACAGTTGGCACCCCTGGCGATTGACAGGACCTTACTCTACAGAGGCGCCATCTTGATGAGTGCAAATGCGATAGTCCTCCTACCACTTTAGCGCTCACCAGTTGGTGCCACTGTCTTCGCTACTAGCAAGTGACAGGACCTTACTCTACAGTGTGCAGTGGCGCTAACTGATGAGCGCTAAAACGATAGCCCTCATTGCGTGCACTCACGGGTTGTCCTCATCGGGTCGCGGCGAGTTCATCCAGTCCTGGAATAATTCCAGCGCGTTCTCCTGGCAGCCCGGCACGTTCATGCGGCACGCCCACGAGCTCAGCGTCGTCTGGACACCAATACAAGCGTTTTAAACCTCTATCACAACAAAAACCAGCCATGGTCTATACAGGGTGTTGATTTCAATCCTAGCCATGTTATTTAGGTCATCTATTATGACTTGTATAAACGCATTATCCACCAAAAAAAAAATACAAATGAAAGTGGAATTTTTAGCGAATATTTTCCGTGCGACATCAATTGTACTGTGGCTCGCAATACTGCAATACACTACGGCACCCATCGAGCTACGCGGATCGCCCGCTTATCATGTCGGATAGCCTACTGAAGAAAGCCACGTAAAGTAGGTAGGTAGTGTAAATTAGGCATTTTTCTTTGACTAACTAAAGTTCGTTTTAAATTTTTTTCGAAGTCAATTTTTTTACTGATTCGTGATCAGAATAAGCAGTAGCTTCTCGCCATATAGGGAGTTGAATAAGTACATTCAACTCAACCCTTAACTTTAATTGTAATATCAACCCGGGACACTTACCTGCATCTTCACACTGTTAAGGTCGTCCCCATTAATGATCTGCTTGGCGGCCAGCCCGCCGGACTGGCGGTAGGTGTCGGTGATGAGCCGCCGGACGAACTTCTGGAAGGCGCCGTAGTCCGGCGACCGGCGGAGCACCGACTCGAGCTTGGCTAACACGTTTAGACCGTTGGACAGAGGCAAGTACTCGGTCTCGTGCTTGAGGTAGCTCGCTAGTCTGGGGCAGAAGATATTTTCAATTACACAACGAAAACTTAAATTAAGCCTAGGCGCAGACCACAGACTTTCAGTTGGCCGATAGTGTGGTCCCGGAAGGGTAGATAGAACCTACGAGAACTGGCCATAAAAAAAACCGGCCAAGTGCGAGTCGGACTCGCGCACCGAGGGTTCCGTACAAACCTGCAAGGTTTACAAAGTTCGTTCATTACGACAATCGAGTCATAACTATGGTATTTTTATTGCAAAATGAAATTCTTAAGTTTATATTTATTAAAAAATATGTATTTTGTAATGTAACTAAAAATGTATGGTTTTCGTAATTTTTCCTTTATCTATGCTATAGGACGTTGCTTCGTACCAAATTTCAAGATTCTGAGTTCACGGGAAGCACCCTGTGGTTTTGATTCCCTTGCAAGTGTCGAAAATTTGCGGCATAAACGGCTGTATCTTTTGATTGCGTTGGCTTAGAAGTTTGATTTTTTCACAGCTTCAAGGGACAGTAGACCTGAGTAATTGATATAAATTTCAGCTTCATACCTCCACGCGTTCCTGAGAAAAATGGTTTTGACAGACGGACGGACGGACGGACAGACGGACAACAAAGTGATCCTATAAGGGTTCCGTTTTTTCCTTTTGAGGTATGGAACCCTAAAAATTATGCAGACATCAGGTCTGCAACCCGTTTAGCAAGTGTAGTGAGCGCAAGTCAAGATCCTCTCTAATTACTTAACCAGAGGAAAATGCAAGATTTAACCTACGCTCCCCACACTGGCCAGTCGAGTTGGGAAAGCTTGATACTAGCATAATATTTGTTCTTATGTCACCTCTTTCGAAATTACAAGTATTATGTAAAAGATTCAAATTATGATGGTGCATAGAGTTCACGGCTCCTGGGAGCTGCTAGATGCCAGGCAGTTTCTAGGGCAGTCGTGTGGTAGCCGGTGACAGTTTATCTTCCTCCAATAGGCCTAGGATGTGCGCCGCGATAAGCGGTTATCGCACCATTTTATCGATTTTGACGTCGATAAGTGTATGTCACAGCGCGCATCCTATTCCAACTGGACAGTGATTTTATTGGCGATCAGTTGCAGATCCTGGCTACACTGAAGTTCGAGCAGTAGGAACGAGAGGTGAGAATAGTTTTGAAGTTCTGTGTGGTACTCACTGTAAAGCAGTGTTGTAGTCGAGCTGGTTATTCCAGGCTAACGCAAAGGCATCCGACAGCAGTTGCACGCGGCCCAGGACTGGTAGCTTGTGGTGATCTCCACCAGTCAACGCGCCGACTAGGAGTTGCCAGTTGCGCTTGTCGTAGTTCACGCGGTACGGCGCTGTGGGACAAAGTTTTGTAAAATAATAAGTGTAGGATTATTATTTATGATGCTTGGACACAGGAATCATTCGTTTGTTTCGGTCAAAGGGCATCCACTGTTGAACAAACGACGGTCACGCGCCAAACAGGTCGCAGAACATGAGGTCAGGACTAGCTCCATAGCAAGAGGAGATCCACCCACAAGGTGAACAGATGACCTTATTCAAAGTAGCAGAAAGGCGCTAGATGATTTCCAGATTGGCCTAATGATATAGGGGAAGCCTGTTTTTAGCAGTGGACGTTCTGTGACTGAAATGATGATGATGGATGTTGTAGAGGCAACACTAAGATCCAGCAGCCTTTGGGGCCGTCCATAAATTACGTCATCGATTTTTTCAGATTTTAGACCCCCCCCCCCTACAATCATCCTATCGTCATTTCTTAATGCCCCCCCCCCCTAATTTAGAATGACGTAATATATGGACGGCCCCTTTTCCCTCTTTTCATTTTCTTGTAGTTAAATGCAGATTGTTGACCGAAAATTGACAGTTTTGGAGAAACGACAATAATAAATGTAAAGGTGAGTATAGACTAAAGTAGTTACTTGTAACAGAACAACGAGTCGCTCTATGAAATGTCTAGGGCGATATGTCTCGAAACAAACGTCATACTTTTACCTGTATTATACCATTCTCAAGAACGTTACATTAAAAAGAAATGTCTAATATTCACCTTAAAATCATCATAAATAAAAAACATCTAAAGGTAATCATTTTTAAACAGCTTAATGTATCGACAATGAAATGAGGAGATCCGTAAACGATATAGCCCGACGGATTAGCAAGCTGAAGTGGCAATGGGCAGGGCACATAGTACGCAGAACTGACGGCCGATGGGGCAGCAAGGTTCTGGAGTGGAGGCCGCGTACCGGAAAACGCAGCGTGGGACGTCCACCTACAAGGTGGACCGACGACATCGTAAAGGTAGCAGGGAAGCGCTGGACGCAGGCCGCTACCAATCGATCAACATGGAAAGCATTGGGGGAGGCCTATGTTCAGCAGTGGACGTCCTATGGCTGAAATGATGATGATGATGATGAATGTATCGACTCACCAATCATATCATAGTTGAACAGCACCCATTCGTCCGCCCCGGCGCCGTGTTCGAACCGATGCTGCGTGCTCACGCCCTCATCATCGGCCAGCCATTGAAGGTCGCCAGTAGGAGAGGATGCTTCCGACTGGCAGAGCACCTTTAGAGGCACCCACCAGGAGGAGTCGGTGCTGCCGCGAGAACCCATGTTGAGGTAGCGTTTCTGGGGAGGTTGGTGTTGGTTTTTTTGAAGCTAGATGACCCGGTGAACTTCTTGTCACCTACATGGCTACTTATTTATTTCTTCTTTTCTCATCTCTCATCTGTCACACTGGATGCTTTCTGCAGGCAACATTTGAGAGTGCTTTCTGCAGTTTACGATTAGGTCAAAGTAAACGCAGCCACATAATTTTGTTTTTGGGGAACATACAATTACAATATAATTTAACTTAGGTGCAGGAAGAAAACATTTAAACCAATTAAGTTTCCACAGTTAAATATACACATAAAGTTGGGCAAACCATCATCATGTATGAACAACTTTGTCGGTCTCTATGCATTCGTATTGATGCGATCTGACAGGTATTGTCGCCCTGACCGACAATGTAGTTCATACATGATGCGGACTACGTTCACTTTAACTTGACCGCAGACTGTAGAATGCAAATTAACGCGATACAAAGCTAAGCAGTCGTCAGTCAGGAAAGGTCGCATTCCAAGTCTTTGTTAAAATTCGAAATGAGGAAACCTGTATGACAACTAATCAACCGACTGAATTGTCAAAATTAAGTGGTAGTATAGGCACATAACTCGTAGCACTGATGAAGTAGGTATTGGAGTGACGTCTACAAACTGGAAGATGTGATCTAGACAGGCCTCTCACTCGATGGACTGACGATCTAGCCAGTGCCTAGATGAGAGCAGCACAGGGCCGTTCGTTGTGGATATCCTTGAGGGAGACCTTTGTCCAGGCAGACATCCATTGGTTAAAATGAGAGGTTAAGGTATTAAGCTGAAACTAACCTGTGTAACAGCCAACGTGTTATCACTGTAATCCCTGGTTACCGTCAGCACAGGATACCCAGTCTGCTTGGTCCACGTGTCCATAACTTCTTTAACGGTGACGTCACGGGCCAGGGTTCCGTACTGGCGGCTCGCGGCCGTTAGTTCTTCCCAGAGCGCGTCTTGGGCCGCGTTCTGGTAGGAGTACTTTACGAGGTAGCTGGGGAAAAATATGACATGTTTATTACTGAATTTTTTCACATACTCATAAAACTCATTTTTTTATGCAAGTAAGCTTTTAAAAAGCACTTTTACACGTCCCAGTATTAACCCTACCACACTGCTTCGGGACAATAAATGGGGCAGTGTTGAGAAGAAGCAAGAAACTCAGAAACTATTGAATAAGTAAAGTAAAGTAATAAAGTCTTTACTGTCAGTTAAACTTATACAATTCGTGGTTAAATCTAATCAAAAATATCTTTATTGATTTAGACTAATTAAATTACTTCTTACAAATAGTCAAAATGCTTTTTTTTTACCTTACCAGCTCTTCGAGACAAACATTTGCCAAGTGTTGAGAAGAAGCACCGCAACAAACTAACGCCCGTATTCACAAACGATGCTTGCTTAAGTGAAGTAGCAATTCGAACGCACAGCGTTGAATAGAGCTCTGTGATTGGTTCATGAGTCACCTTGTGCGTCCTCGCGCACTGTGAGACCTCATAGTAATGTTTGTGAATACCGGCGTCATGTCAGTCACAACTATCTACTCCTGTGTAGCCAGGATCTACAGCTTGACCGCCATAAAAACCCAACCAGTGAAAGTCAAGTTTGTCCCGGGGGAAAGTTAAACTGTCATTGGACCCGCAACGACATTAATCAGAACACAGGAGTTCGAAGCTAAGGGAACTTACTTGTGCAGCGCCTTCCTGAAGACCTCCTCTCCCAGGAACATGGTCATCATCCGGATGAGGGTGGATCCCTTGCGGTACGAGATCTCATCAAAGATCTCATTGATACGCTTCGGGTCGTCGATCGGGACTGACACCTGCACCACAGATTATGTCAGATATTGTACAGTCAGCGTCAAATAGGGAATATTTGACGCTGACGTAGCCAAAAAGCTCGCAACACGTCTTAGTTAAAAATTTGAATATGGTTGTGTAGTCAACTTTTTGGCTTCTTTGGGTTTCTCGAACTATTGGACGCTGACTGTACTAAAACACACAACAGTCAAAACACGTCAGACCCTCACATGCATGGTCTTTGCAAAATAGCTCTACAAATACAGAAGTTACTACAGTCGTAAAAGCTTGATTTATCGTGGAAATGTACGACATCCTTTTCTGTGGTAATTAACGCAACACGTTATCTAGATGTCATTGTCGTACCGTCGTATAGTACTTTGTGTTGTCGTGTCGTAGATTTCCACATGATGTCGACGTCGTATCGAGTATAAGCACGATACGACGACTTGGGGCTTTTACATATAATATTAAGTGTAAAAGCCCAATCACTTATTTAACCGCGTTTCTACTTCCCTTTATTTGGCACAAACTATTACCAACTTTGAAATTCAATAACAAGAGTTGCTACGTTGGAAACAATGATCCAATAATCCCACAACTCACAGGGTGCGAAGACTCCAAAGCGTCCAGTCCCAGCACGGAAATGAGATTCTCCACAGCATATCCCTGGTCGGCGCGCCATGTTGGTTCTACCGCTGCCACGCCGACCGACGCCATGAAGGTGGCGAAGCCTTCGTTGAGCCACAGGTCGGACCACCACTTCATGGTCACCAGGTTGCCGAACCACTGGTGGGCTAGTTCGTGGGCGATCACCTGGGGAACAATGATATGTTATGCTAAAAAAAGTCATTGGTTCAACCGTATCCTCACAGCATAAACTTCAAATTGATGTGGGCTCTATGGATACCAGCCTGGTTAAAGGATATTCACCCGTATTCACAAACGATACCTGCTTAAGTGAAGCAGAAAATTGAATGCACAGCGTCGAATAGAGCTCTGTGATTGGTTCGTGTGTCACCCTGTGCGTCCACGCGCACTGTGAGACCTCATAGTAATGTTTGTGAATACGGGCGTTAGTCCATTATGATGTCATTCACTGGTCATGACAAAACAAAGGATTTACTGAAGTAGATGTTTTTACGCAAATAAAATTCTGATTCTGATTCTGTAATATTTTAAGGCCCTATTCGACCAAACTTTTATTCAAAAATAACTCTTGGTATAACGCAAAATAAATAAGTACTCTTAGAGTAAAACAGAAACCCGTTTTACCAACTACTAATTTGAGTAACCTTTTAAATAATATGTAAGTATATATGTATCTATTCCTATATGTTATTTATGTAATCTTATTTCATCTAAGTTAATATCAATTTTATACCGCCTACTTTATTTTCAGTTTGGCTCTAAGGTTGACTGGAGGAAAATGCCGAAAGGCATTAAGTCCGCCTTATGTACAATGTTTTATGTGCATTTAAGTTCAAAATAAATAAATAAATTAAAATATGAGTTTGGGCCAATAATCAATTACGTTTTTTTAAACATCCTCACATTCTTCTTTTAAGGTAAGGTATAGGTTTTGCTTACCTCAGCCACCCTCTCCTTGCTCACAAACGACGACTGTTTCTTATCAAACAGCAGCGTGGTCTCCCTGTATGTGATGAGGCCCCAGTTCTCCATGGCTCCGGCGGCGAAGTCCGGGATCGCAAACATGTCTTGCTTGGGCAGCGGGAAGGACACGTTGAAGAACTTCTCGAAGTGGTCCAGGACACGGGGACCGATATTCGCTGCGTACGCCGTCTGGGAGAGAAGATAATTTATTTTATTTGATCACCCACAAGGTTACATTGTCGCATTCACAAGAAAAACTTACAAAAATGGCACATGTTAGATGCAAACTTAATTAAAGCTGAAAACAACATGCATTAGAGACTAAAGCCCGTTTTCACCATCAATCCCTAATTTTTAAGTAACCCCTATGAAAACAAAAAGTCTGTTATGTGTTACCATAGGGGTCACTTAAAGCAACCAAAAATTGGGGGTTAAAGAACTGAGAAAAATCAATATGGTGTAAAGAAGTCTCTATGCTTGTTCAAATCGGTGAGATTTGTCCAAGCATGTGGGCTTGTATTTACGTAAAGTAAGGAAAAATCAACATTAACATTATTGGACTTAGACAGGGTGTTGTATTGATTTGACATTGATAGATTTTTTACAAATAATGAGTACCTGACTATAGTCTGGTCTACGAGCACGTAGAATTTTGTCCAATGACCCCAAGCTACCCATCCTTATCGCTCGCGCGTAATTATATTGTTGTCGCGACTGTGCGACGGGCGCCCGCAGTGAGTGTGCGAGTGCGACAGCAACATAATTACGTGCGAGCGATAAGGATGGGTAGCTTGGGGTCATTGGACAAAATTCTACGTGTTCGCAGACCAGACTATAGTATAAGTAGAAAACAGAGATGATGACAAATAATCGGACCTTGGTCACCCGCTCAGAAGGAAGCATAACACCTTAGATTTATTATTGTGGTTGACCATCAATATGCAAATCATTGGGGGAGGCCTATGTTTAACGTTGGACGTCCTGTGGTTGAAATGATGAATGATGATGATGGGATAAGAACGTACCTGGTCGATGGCATCGCTCCGCGCCCAGATCCGGAACTTGGTGGTGGAAAGATTGGGTGGGCTTTCCACGTGAGCGAACTTAGACACAACGAAGGCGACCAGGTAGGTTGACATCGGTACTGACGTGTCGAACTCGTCCCATACGAAGTCGGACTTGCTCTTCCTGCAAGAATATGGTTGAAAAACTCAGAAAAATGACAGCTTGATTTTCCTGCAATAACGAGGGTGGTTGGATAAATCAGAACAGTGATATTTAGCGCAAAGTCAAAGGTCAGTTGGTTGACCATTGAGGATTTAGATTGCGAGGAGATTCGCCTCTTACGACATCCACGAGAGGATATGAGTGGAGCATAAAAACAGTGATAGATAGGTAACGCAAAGACAAAGGTCATTTGGCTTATACAGGAGAGATTATTATTATTGTTATTTATTACTGTTATTCGGTAGTAACCACATGGCTAAGTCAAAGACAGGTAATGTTTAAAGTAATGTAACACAGAGACAAGGTTATTTCAAGGTACTTATTGATAGTAATTAATAGGGATAGTGTCTCGGTAAAACTTGTATACACTTACCTGAACTTTTGTCCAACCATGTGCCAAGGCCAGTATGATTCGATGATGCTGAAAGATAAAAAAGGTGTTTAAATACAACACAACCTTATTGCCTTCTCTGCCAGTTAACCTTTGAGCTAAACAGGAAAAAATCGTTTGGCAGTAGCGGCGGCAGAACGGCGGTAGCTACCTATGTTCAACTTACTTCTGGTCGTAGCTGGTCTTCACAGGCATGTTGGAGACGGCAGTGAAGAGCTGGTGGTGGCCCAACGTGATCTTGAAGGTGGCTTTGTACATCGGCTCGTCGAAACACGGGAAGCCCTTGCGAGCGGAGATCGCTTCGAACTGGGTCGTGATGAGGTACCTGGACAAACAAACAAGTTTAGAAAGTTTTAGTATTAACCTCCTCTNCCTCCTTTGTGGTCTAGTGGTAAGACCACCTGCTTCAGACGCAGAGGTCCCGGGTTCGATTCGCAGTGGGGGCAGATTTTTCTGTTCGGTTTAGTTGGTGGTAGGGCTTGTTCTAAGTCCGCCTGGCTAGCTACCACCATCTTACCTAAGTCTGTCGCCATAACAACAATGTTAACAGTATTATTGTGTTCCGGCAGTTAGAGGTAAGATAGTCAGTTCCTCCGTCCGGACCGGTCGTTGTGGAAATTTTTGGGGGAAGCCTTTGTCTAGCAGTAGACATCATTTGACTCAAACGAATGAACGAACAAAACATGGTCTCTATTCAAGAATACGTTTAGGTACTCCACCTTACGGCGTTATTCACAAATAGCTTTCCGCCCGCGGCTTCGCTCGCGTGGAATTTTGTCTGTCACAGAAAAACTTTATCGCGCGCGTCCCTGTTTCAAAAACCGGGATAAAAACTATCCTATGTCCTTTCCCGGGACTCAAAATATCTCTATGCCAAATTTCATTAAAATCGGTACAGTGGTTTAGGCGTGAAAGCGAGACAGACAGACAAACAGACAGAGTTACTTTCGCATTTATAATATCAGTATAGATTCATTGCTTAAGTACCTACAGAACCACAGAAAAAATACTTAAAACTTACTCTTTCGATTTGGTGTTCTTATTGACGTATTGGCTAATGTACACTCCATCCAGGCCAGTCTTCAGGTTGCCATAGAACGGTATCGTCAGGGTGTAATTGTGGCCCACTTCCAGGTTCTTATCCAGGGAGACAGTTAAGAAGTTGTAGGTGTCGTTGATAGCTGCCCCCATGACCCCCGGGGCGTCCTGGCCCGTGAGGGTCACAGCCTGGGAGGCGATGGAGAAGTCTTGCGCATGGAGAATGATCTTGGACGTTGGTTTGACGGTTGACAGCTGTAAAGAATAATTTCCTATAATAACGTGACTGACGCCCGTTTTCACCATCAATCCCTAATTTTTAAGTGATTCCTATGGTATAACACATAACAGGAATTTTGTTTTCATAGGGGTCACTTAAAAATTTGCGATTGATGGTGAAAACAGTCATGAGTTGAGACTTAATATAGTGACTTTTCATAGGGGTCACTTAAAAATTAGCGATTGATGGTGAAAACAGTCATGAGTTGAGACTTAATATAGTGACTGAGTTTCTTGCGCTTTTCTTCTCACTGGCCCATTTGTTGTCCTGAAGCAGTTTTAGGGTTAATACTGGGACGTGTAAAAGTGCTTTTTGAAAGCCTGCTTGCATGAATAAATGAGTTTTATCTTTTCACCGAAAAGCACAGCGAGGGACGTCCACAAAGTGACCCTCACCGATGACCTCATTAAGGAAGGCGCTGGATGCAGGCCGCTACCAACCGGGCAATATGTTATGCATAAAAAAAAATATGGAAAGCATTGGGGGGGAGGCCTATGTTTAGCAGTGCACGTCCTGTGACTGTGATGATGATGGTCAAACTTCCGTCGTGACCAGCATCATTTTAACATGTCCTCTGCTGGAAATGTGGCTTTCCCAATGATTTCTAGATTGACCAGTTCGATGCGGTTCCTTATCCTTACAATATTTATCAACTTTTCAGGAGGTAAGTTGTGGAGTAGGTATGTGGAGTATTTTTAGATAATATTGAGAACCATTTTAACAGATTGTATTGATGACGAGTCACGAGTGTTCAGAAAAATTATGTCGAGACAATTCCCTCAAAAATAATCCTGTATGTACTTTTAGCTCTTTCGTAGTTTTCGTTTTAAAGTTACATGTGTATTTATTTAGAAAAATCTGTGTTTTAGTACGTTTTAGCACAGAATACATAATAGTAGCAACAGAAATTGCACTCCTTTGTGTAGGATCAGATGCCGACATTTTAACGGTAATAATAATAATGCAAAATATCCAACGCACCTGGTGCATTCGAAATCGCACCTTACTACTACGCTCACAAGAGCGCAATTTTTTTGTGTTCAGAGTTGATCTACCTCACAGCTCAAGCGTCAGGGTTGTATAAGCAAAGTAAAATAAATAAAAACTTAATTTTAAGAAGCATTTATTGTATTTACGATAGGTAAACTTTAATCTAGTGGTGTTTGTATAATCGTACTCTCTAAAGTACCTATTAATAAACTTCTAGTCCAGTCAATAAAGCATTATAGATGGAAATCCGTGGAACACAATTTTTGACTTCGGGACTTTATTTAGACTAGTTAGGAGGTGAACATAGCAAAAGTCCCCGCCCTTAGCCCTTGAGCCGGCGGGGAGAGGGGGGTTTAAAGGTACCACTTTTCGGTTTTTCGCTTAATCCTCGGAAACTATGCGTCCTAGTGACATGGCTACTATGAACCAAATAAAGCTTATTAAATTTGCTACAGGTGAGATAGTCAAGTTTTTCTATATCTTGTATAGTTTTCGCGGCAAATGCTCTAGAAGGTCTGTAATATTGGAAATTTTATTTTTGTCTTACATGTTTCCGTCTGGAGAAAATCGACTAAATCAATATTGAGCTAATATTCTAGACATGCGGGAGCATGTTAAGCCTAGTTCCAGTGAGGGGACTGCACCGTGCGTATATTTAGACGAACCAATTGGAGCCTTTTTTGACTCCTCATCACTCAAAAAGTACTGTGCATTAACACTTCAAATTTGGCTCATGTGTTGAGACTTGCAAGATAAACATCAGCTTCAAATTTCATAAATATACCTCAAACGGTTCTTTAGGTATTGACGTCTAAAAATCTACATGGCTGACCTATAAGACCAAATTCTAACCACTTCCAGATGACCTTGAAGGTTCAAATTTAGCATCCAGATAGGTAGTTGTGTAAATACAAAGGAACAAATAAAAAACCAGTAAATTTTTACATTTCACAGGTGATAGATAGATTTTAGTGTCCTAAATGTCGATTTTTGAACGTCAATACCTAAATAACCGTTTGAGGTATATTTATGAAATTTGAAGCTGATGTTTATCTTGCAAGTCTCAACACATGAGCCTAATTTGAAGTGTTAATGCACAGTGCTTTTTAAGTGATGAGGAGTCAAAAGGGGCTCCAATTAGTTCGTCTTAATATACGCACGATGCAGTTCCCTCCCTGGAACTAGGCTTAACATGCTCCCGCATGTCTATAATGTTTGCCTAATGTTGATTTAGTCGATTTTCTCTTGATAGGAACATGTAAGACAAAATTAAAATTTCCAATATTACAGACCTTCTAGAGCAGATGCCGCGAAAACTATACAAGATAAAGAAAAACTTGAATGTCTCACCGGTAGCAAATTGAATAAGCTTTTTTTGGTTCATAGTAGCCATGTCACTAGGACGCATAGTTTCCGAGGATTAAGCGAAAAACCGAAAAGTGCTACCTTTAAACCCCCCTCTCCCCGCCGGCTCAAGGGCTAAGGGCGGGGACTTTTACTATGTTCACCTCCTGACTAGTCTTAATAAAGTCCCGAGGTCAGAAATTGTGTTCCAGGGATTTCTCTCTACACCGTCGTTAAAGCATTCATTGACTGGACTATTCAGTGTTGCGATATTTCGAAATTGGACAAACAGTTTTAAAAGGTGTAGTGTCGGAAAATAGACACGGTGAAGTAAAGTTCATGTTTTTATTAGCTAAAATAATTTTTTTGCTACAGTTTTTTGTCATAAGTATTTCAAAATTATTTAAAAAGTGTAGTTTTTTTAAATTATTTAAATCACTACAGTTAATTATTCCTAAATATTACGATTTTCCATTAAATAAGAATAACAGTGCTGTTGGAACAATAAACCTTGATTGCGACGATGATCGACCGAGCGTGTATAGGTACGCGTGTGTACACAGGCGCGTGGCGGCCCTGACTGATCTGCAACTTCAAGTTGTCGCGCGCTGTAGGTAATTATCTCGGCCGGCATAGGCGAGTGACGGAGGCCTGGTTTTAGTCACTATGACTCACATACTTTTGTTATAAAATAACCTGAACACTGGGCCTTATGATTCATAACATTCAAAAGTCTAGAAGTCAAAAAAATGTTAGACCTTCTAACATTGTAAGACTGACTTAAGCAACGCGTTGACCTCGATCCTGAACAGATTTCACTATCGACCGGTGGCAAGAAACCTACAAAATACAAACACAATATGCCTGATAATAGAGGCTTTTTATGACATGTCATAGAAAGCAGGTCAGCTGCAAACAATGACCGTGTTGTTAAATACGCTTCATTTAAATGGTTTCTAAATAAATAATATCCTTGGACATTTTACACTGCGCCTCTAGTCCCAAACTAAGCAAAGCTTGTACTATGGGCACTAGACAACGGATATAAACATACTTAAATACTTTTTTTTAAATACATACATACATGTTATACATAGAAAACACCCAGTCCAATACAAACAAATATGTTCATGCACAAAAATGTTTGTACTGAGCGTGAATCGAACCCACGACCTCTAGGAATAGGAGTCCGTTTCGAGCCACTACGCCAAACGGCCCAAAAATGAAATTCATTTAAAACTTAGGTACCTACAGGCTAAAATAATACTGACATCTCAAAAACCATCACAAACCTACCAAAATTCGGTAGTGCTGTTGAATTTACTCAAGTGCCTATTAAAATAACTAAATAATTAACAAAAGAACTACTGAGAAAAGACATCGCATAAATCAGAGGTAGGTTCTAAACATTTTTCCCAGAATCGGTCACTGGCAATTGTTAAAATACATAAACCAAGCTTTTCAATAAATAACGTCAAATACTTACCTGAAGTCGGCTTTAAATCATTTGTTACAACCATGGTGACAACTATTTGATTTAATGTAATGCATCGAGCAAGCATCAATCATAATAACATTACTCATGATTCAAAATATTTGCCTACAATTTAAACTTGTTTGTTACTTGGCGTAAGTTACTGGAAATCGAAAATAAAAACATGTAGGTACGAGTATAATAGCTTTACGTTAGGATAACGTTTAGATATTAGGATTTATCTAAGACATAATAAGATAACGGTAGTAATTCCATTTAAAAGTTATTTAAATGAAGTATTTAGCAAAGATAATCTGTAAGTTACACACATTTTCCGTAAAACCAAACTCACTTCCTTAAGAAAATAATCGCCCTCTAGCAAGGTAGTTTGTTAAACACAAGGTTTGTTTATTATTACGAGCTTTTAGTTTCCTTCTACGTGATATAAAAGCCTTCTTATCTCTTTTGCACTCTCTCCGATTTTCAGCTATGCTATGCCACTTTTCCCCTCTAGTAGAGTATAGAATATTTTGCCAAACCATACTGGGCCTAAGTCATTAACGATTTTTAATCGTGGACCCACTCTATAGAAATAGTGGCTCAAAGACTGTTAGCTCAGAAGCTTTTATAGATAGGCCTTTCAATTTTTAGTGTGGATCAAATTCTCTATTTGCTTTTAATGAATTAACGGGACTATTCCTCCTCTCGTTTCCACTCCTGTGTAGCTCAATAAAAACCCAACCAGTGAAGGTCAAGTTTGTCCCGGGGGAAAGTTAAACTGTCATTGGACCCGCAACGAAATTAATCAGAAGAACATAGGAGGAGTTCGAAGTTAAGGTTCGACTTCCCTCCATTGCAAAGCAGATGACAGTGACAAACAAAGGTTTTTTTAGTGAATTAGAGAAGGTCATGTTCCTGCAGTGGAGAATGATAATGACGATGATACTCATTCCACAGTTTTCTGGCCTCTGACGACCTGTCCAAGGTCAAAACTAATTTTGGGTGCTACAATGAGGATTCGCGCAATTGCCTCTAGAATATTAAGTACCTAAGTAGGTATTATAATCGATTCAGTAGGTACTGAGCCAATTTTTTCCTTGTTTCAAGTTTATGAGAAGTCTAAAACCCATATTCACAAACGATACCCACTTGCTTAAGTGAAGCAGAAAATCGAACGCACAATAATATAGCTATGTGATTGGTTCGTGTGTCACCCTGTGCGTCCACGTGCACTGTGAGACCTCATAGTAATGTTTGTGAATACGGGCGTATGTCCAACTGTAGGCAGTCGATCTTCTGCTGTTATTATCTCTAATATAGTGTTAGTCGCCATTTTGGTCAATGTGAATTAATATACTATTTGTATTATCAAACCACGTACTGTCAAAGGAAAACCTTGCGGTAGGCATTCACCTCGGCGGGACGGGGACGGAATAGCAATGCAATTATAAGCTGAGCCATTCTGCAACGTGATATTTGTTGGGAAATTTTACTGCTGAATCTTAACTGTTTTAATGTCTTAGATTAAGCATTAAACCTTTATGACTTGTGGTAAATATTCTTAGAGCCGTATTATAAATGACAGTCAAGTAAGAATTGGTTCAAGATTGATCCTAATATTGAAATTTTACCAACCCTTGAATTGATGCGCAATATACTTTATAGCGAGTTTTGAGTAAGTTTTTATTGCTCATCATTGCTGCATCGTTCAGTTTCAAGTTCTAAATTTTCCCTTTAGCTTTCTGTGTTTGTGTGTTGTGATTACAAAAACTGCCTGTCCACTAGACATGTCATATCCATTCTTGTTTTCAATCCAAAGTTGATCAAAGTTTTATAGGGAGCTTCGTCCATTGGCTACTAAGTAGCCCGATGAGTTTACAGATAAGTGATCTCACTCGATTATTTCTAAACTATACAAGATATCCAAAAACTGGTTACTGATCCTGAAAGTGCTTCACGAGCTCTATACAACGGTACCAATAACAGTTTACAAAATAAACTGGATCTATCCTAAAATTCAATGTTTCCATCTTGTATAGTTTAGACTTAATCGAGTGAGATCACTTATCGTTTCCACCCTGTAGTGTATACCTACTATTATAAGTATACAAATGTTAAGCCAAAGCACATTTACCTCCGCGTGGGTCGCTGGGGTATCCAAATAAGTATTATTGTGTCTGCTTAGCATAGCTGCTTACATTCGTATTGTTACGAGTTTTTTGTTTGCATAACTGCACTTCCCACTCGGTTGCTTGTGTACGATCATCGTGATATTTTTAAACATCTTTCATTGTAAAATAATGCAATATTGTAAACAATTAAGAATGCCCCTCAAGGTTTATGTGTCACTGGATTTCCCACTGTCGCCTGCCTCTTCGATTTGTTGCCAATGTTACTTGTCGATTTATTATTATTTTTCTTCTTGTTTTTAATAATATTATAGTTCATAATATTATATTTATGTATCTTTACAATGAAGGTATCAATACAAAAAACTCATAGCATTATCTTTTAAGGTTAATACTGGTAATACCAACAATACCTACGACTTACTTTTAGGAAAACATCATCAAACAGAGATTTAAGTATCTTTTATTATAGAAAAAGATGTTGAAAATAGTGAAAATGCTTTCTAGCGCTGCTTCTTCTCGGCACTAGCCATATTATGATCAACGATGTTAAGACGTATTTAAAGATATTTTTAAAAGCTGGCAACTGGAAATAATGATTCACAAGTTGATGAACAGTTTCTTTGTCAAATTCTTTCTCAATTCGGAACAAACAATGAATGTCACATGTAATGTATGCAAATGTGCATTGTTGACGAACATTTCTGTAGTCTCGGTCCATTAGGATAGTTCTTGATGTACCGTTACACTTTAGTCTTGCATTTTAAGTTTTGAAAAAGTCTTATCAATGCAAAATTCCAACTTTCAAAAATACAGTTATATTGAAATTTATAACTATACAAACAACATTTTGAGACCGTTAGGTAATTAAGATGGCTGATTTGGTTTTATTACAAATAAGATAGACAAGGTTAAATGCTATAAAGTAGACGAATAATTTGACTATTAAGAATAATAAAAGTCATCTTGATGATGACACATTTCTAAATTGACTGTTATTTACAATGGGCTAACAGCAACCGGAATAGAGCGGTCAATATTTACAGTGAATTGGATGTTTTAGCCTTGTTTGATGTTGAGATCAATGCCTGTAAAAGTNGTAAAAGCGCTTTGAGTCATCATGGTATTACAATTTTAGCCCAACTACTGTTTCAGTTAATTGCTGAGAAAAAGCATCGCAAGAAACTCAAGTCCCTTTTCTCGGTCGTTAGCCTGTTTTTCAAGGATTTACAATAGTAGTATTTTTATCGATGCGAGCTAGGCAGTTATAACATGCTAAACATTTTGGTCTTCTAAAATGTTAATATCATCTTTTAATAACTACGAGTATTAGGTAGGTCCTTTTTCATGAAAGTATTTTCAATGTTTTTTGAACCACGAATAAGCTGGTGTACAATCTACATAGTTTCTGGAGTGTAGGGGAGACCGAGGTGAGAATAGAGGTGACTTGTAATAGAGGTGAGTTGTGACAATACCGATTTCTCTACACCTATAAGTTCTGAAAGACCATGCCGAATTCGCGAAGTTTATTTACTTATTTATTAAGGAAATAAACAGCAACATTCATAAAACACATTTAAACCAAAACAAAATAATTAACATATTTGCCTTAATTTAATTCCACTGCTAGTTAGCGCAGGTTATGTTAATTTAGACAAATAATACAGACGATAGCACATCAAGGTAATCACTAAGGTACAGAGAAATTGAATTTGGTTCAACTCACCCCTGGTTCAAAACACCTCGATCTCCCTTACTATCTGGTATGTATTTCTAGTACTCACCAGAATATCGACGACTCCAAAGAAGCTGAAGTTGGTGGTCGGGTCGATGTCGTAGGTGACCCTTAAATCGTAGTGGGAGGGGTGGACATCCCCCGGGAGGAGGTACTCGTGGGCTGCTGCCCACTGCAGGGCCAGGAGCACTGTGACGCAACTCCGCCACATTTTGGGAGGTTACTGGAAATAAAGGGTCACGGTATAGAAAGACAGAAGAAACAAGACATCCCAACTAATATTATAAATGCGAAAGTAACTCTGTCTGTCTGTCTGTCTGTCTGTCTGTTACGCTTTCCCGCTTAAACCTCGCAACCGATTTTGATGAAATTTGGCATAGAGATAGTTTGAGTCCCGGGAAAGAACATAGGATAGTTTTTATCCCGGTTTTTGAAACAGGGACGCGCGCGATAAAGTTTTTCTGTGACAGACAAAATTCCACGCGGGCGAAGCCGCGGGCGGAAAGCTAGTAGCTCATAAAAATTAAAAACTCATAAAACTATTTTAATATTTGCAAGTAGGCTTTTAAAAACACTTTTACACGTCCCAGTATTAACCCTACCTCTGCTTCGGGACAATAAATGGGCCAGTGCTGAGAAGAAGCAGCGCAAGAAACTCAGTGACTATTGTCAGCCTCTTTTTCAAGAGTTTGCAGCTCGTAGAGCTGATGTCCACTGGGGCAGAAAGTGCCAGAAGACGTAGTGTGTACAGGCCCCCTAATAGGTGGACTGACGATTTGGTGAAGGTCGCGGGAATGACGTCCGTTGTTGGACAAAGGCCTCCCCCAAGGATTTCTAGAACGACCGGTCTAGCGCTGCCCGTATAGGTAGTGCCCTACTTTCCGCGTCCTTCACTAGATCGCCGGTCCAACGAGTGGGAGCCCTGCCCACACCGTATATGCAGGTCCGAGATCTTTTCTGTTCCAAAGGTCATCACTACTAGAGGTTACGTTCTTACAAATTCACCTACGTCCGTCTCTCTTGGTCTAAAGCTTATTCACAGAAACTAATGTTTATTATTGTTTTCATTGAAATCGTGTTTGAAACATAATTAATATTTTAAATGCACTCCAATTTTAATTCCAAAGAAGTAGATATCGCGCACGTTCGCGTATCAAATGCATTATAATTCTGTTTTTTGTTATACAGTGCCTTGCTACTTGCTGCGCATTATTAAAATACTTATCATAACGTGTTATGGGTGATAATGATAATCATCGCATTTACATGCCAAAATCATGTGAAATGACAAACTCATTTACAATGCGGGTATCAATTAGGTACGAAGTCGTTAAATCTAGGCATGAATCTCAGGTATTTTTTATCTCGGTTCTGATACGGGTCATTCGAAAATAAAGATAATATCTTTAGCCTAGCCACAGACAAACTCTTAGTCGGCCGATAGTTTAGGCGACTCCAATTTTTTTTAAAGTCGGCTATACTGATTTAAACAACGCGACCCAACTATCGGCCGACTAAGCCCTAGGCGGAGACCACCGATTTTTAGTTGGCCGATAGTTGGATCGGGCTGTTAATCATTATGGAGATGTATAAAAGTCCACACATTACACCGATTTGGTATCGGGCTCGGCTGATTCTTCATACAAATTAGAATCGGGCCCAACTCTCGGCCGACTAAAACAGCTGAGGGATGTCCTAAAATATGGGTAAGGTAGGTATGAATTAGGAATACTTTGTTGCAAATTAGAGTAGCACAACAACAAACGGTATGACTGTGAATGTAGCTGGCAACAGCTGAGGATAAGTACATCGCTCGCAATACATATAAATATGTATCTAAGGAAAATAAATTGACTATTAAATAGTACTCAACTTAAGTAGTTTATGGAGACCACGTGTCAATTAAATAACTCTGTATTGCACCTATTTATAAGACGAGTTCCATACATCATACTACAACATGTTATGTACATGTTAACGTACCTTGTAATTAACATGTAATTTACAAGTATTATACATTATAGCTTATTATCTTCATAAGTTCATAGGTAACTGGGTATGTATCTTTTAATTTCATAACCTAAAGAAAACTTTACTTATTTACAGCTGTTTAGCGAATTTTATTCTACACTAGCGGCCACCCGCGACTTCGTACGCGTGGATCCCGTTTTACCCTCTTAGGGGTTGAATTTTGCAAAATCCAATCTCAGTGAGCACCTACGTTAAAAGGAACCCCCATGCAAAATTTGAGACTCCTAGCACTTGTAGTTTCTGAGATTTCGTTATTTTCTTTCGCTTTTATAAATATGAGATTTGAGATGAGGATACACCAGGGATGTATGCTAATAATACACTCATTAATCATAAAATCTGACCTATTGCTATAGAAAAGAATAATTGTTTTCATCTTCCGATCGACTCTACTTTTTTCAGTGTTGCTACATTTATACCATATATTCGTTAGCTCTGAGGTAATCATGATTATGTTACTTGAGTGAGTCATAAAGAGTAACTCCGGGCCACACATGCGACTAATAACTTATTTATAGAAGCAAAGGTTGCGTGACATGCACGGCTCCCGTAATACCCATATCGATTGGGCTGGCCTAGGCTGACACGATTACCTATAATTAGAATATTAAATTAGGTTATAGGGAATTTATCAATTTTTAGGTAGAAAATGATGTGACGTAGGTATGTGTAGGTATAACGCTTCCGTGGTTATTACGAAGATAGTGAGTAGATGGATGCCCTTAATTTTGTCTTTTCTATACATAATCTGTGAAATACACATTTTTATAACTGTGAGTCAGTAACATAAACTTTTTTTCGCTTTTGTGTCTTATTTATTTATTTATTGAAAAAGATACACCAACGACATATAACTTTACATATAACAATAATACAGTGTTGAGTAGGTACAATATTAAAATATATGCCTTTACAGGTGGATACATCATTTCCTATTATCGAACGTTGACTCGAGTTTAAAGTAGGACATTAGTTAAAGACAAAATTAAGAAAAGAAACAATAAATATTAGGTACATAACATTAATTCCACACACTTCCTCTTGAAGCGGCGCTCCGATTTATCAAAGATATCGATGTCAGCAGTATTAATATTATTGTAAGTGCGTATTCTTATTCGGGAAATGCACATAATAATATGACCTTTAACTAGCTAGGGAATAATCCAGTTGCGGTTTTGGGTTCGAATCCAGATGATAGCAAATGTTATGGTGGTGAGCACGAGCATTTATACTTTAAAGATATGGATATATGTAGGTACACAGGTACTTACATTTGGTTTAATAAAATTGTTACATTGAGTCACTTTAATTTAAATTGAGCTTAGTAGGATAGGACTGACTATTTTTTGGTCTGAGAGATGGGCTCAATGGCTCAATTAAGGTAATTGTTTAATTATTTATAATAAACAAAATAAATACCTTTGCTCTGATGACATTTAGTAAAGTTTTGATATAAATCTTCATCTTTACACAAACGTAAATAAATAAACTCATGCAGCTTTAAAATCTCGTAGGCTCAAGCCGCAATGTTTGTTTACTAATGAAATGTCACAAATAAAAGACTTCATTGTCAAAATCAAATCACCAAAAATAAATTGAAGAGGAAAGTTGCAATAAAAGATTTTGTATTTGAAAATAATGCAAAAAATAACGAACAAGAACATGATTGACACTTGTGACATTTGAAAGGAGCAAAAAAAGTTGGCAAAAACTTTTTGGTTTGTTTTCCATAAAACCCGGAGAAAAACCCCAAAATTAAATTTTTTTTTTCAGTAAAAATACCACTACCGATATGAATGTGAGACTTTATGAATTTCAATTAAGAGAATAAATAAAAGCTTACACTAAGAAAACCATTAATACAAAATGAGTATCTATAATGACTTCCTCCTTACTTGACTTTCGAATATAAATCTAGACTAGCTTTCCGCCCGCGGCTTCGCCCGCGTGGAATTTTGTCTGTCACAGAAAAACTTTATCGCGCGCGTCCCTGTTTCAAAAACCGGGATAAAAACTATCCTATGTTCTTTCCCGGGACTCAAACTATCTCTATGCCAAATTTCATCAAAATCGGTTGCGAGGTTTAAGCGGGAAAGCGTAACAGACAGACAGACAGACAGACAGACAGAGTTACTTTCGCATTTATAATATTAGTTGGGATATTTTATCGAATGCCTTGGTCTAGCCTGCCCCCTTTCACAAAGTATATATTTTTACCTAACAACAATAACCAATTTTGTTATTCATACAAAAAACTTAGCGCAATGATTATGTTCTTGAGATTGCCTCAAATGTTATTTTTAAATATTATTATTCCTTTCCACTTTCTTCTTTCCTACAGGAAATAATTGGTAAATAAAAACCACTAACTTTATCTTTCAAAAATACCACATGCAATAAAGCTTAAAAGCTCCCAGCGGGAAGCTTATGGAGACAAGATATACGACTTACTTCGCGCTAAGCTTTCGGAATACTTAATTGTTACTTTGAATCGATTTGATTTATATTTAAGGAAAAATGTTTTGGAAGATATCTTCAAATTAACCGTTATCTTTATTATGGTGCTGTATCAGAACAGAATATTATCTATACTAATATTATAAATGCAAAAGTAACGCTGTCTGTCTTGATTTTACGCCTAAACCACTGAACCGATTTTGATGAAATTTGGAAAGGACATAGGTAGGAGTTTTTATCCCGGTTTTTGAAACAGGGACGCGCGCGCGTTTTTCTGTGACAGACAAAATTCCACGCGGGCAAAGCCGCGGGCGGAAAGCTAGTTTACAATATAAAAATATAAAACATTTACAAATATAAGGATGCTAGTATCAAAATATAATTTAAAACTTTTTTTTTTAATTAATCAATATTCAACGTTTACGCAGAACGCGTTGATGTCTTTTTACCCGACTGCTGAAAAAGGGTTATGTGTTTACAATAATAACAATTAAAACTTATTAAATTATTTAATAAAATAACTAAATAATGTTAACAACTATAGTTCTAAACTACCTTTCAGTTATGGACCTGAAAATTTAACAATACTAGGTACTTTACAAACTATTTTTTACCCGACTCCGCCAGAAGGAAGGTTATGTTTTACTGTAGAATTTAATTTTTAATCACGAGCTGTCAATTAAATTAAAATTACAAATCAACTGTTTTTATTACAGGTAACAGTTTACCCTTGTAAAGGTCCTCAGTAAATAACAACAGCCTTTCAAAAGTCGCCGGCGCATACGGCCTCAAACGCGCGATATACCGCCATATTGGAGCACCAGGAAAAAGGACGGGTCTCCCTTGACCGAGGATAAGCATAAAAATAAATAAGTTAGTCAGTTAAATAATATTATGATAATGGATAAATCCTTGCATTAAGATGGTTAAGTAACTGATATTATGGATAATCCTTGGAAATCGATTGAAAAACTGATGTAATTTAATTTTCATTAGCAAAAGGATGTCCCGATTTTCAGCGAGTTTTCAGAAATAATTACTTTTGCATTGAAATTTCCCAAGCATTTCAGTATTTATTTTTATTTAATTAGCAAGCTGATGTGGCAATGGGCAGGGCACATACCTAGTATGCAGAACTGACGGCCGATGGGGCAGCAAGGTAATGGAGTGGAGGCCACGTACCGAAAAACGCAGCGTGCGACGTCCACTTACAAGGTGAACCGACGACCTGATAAAGGTAGCAGGAAGGCGCTGGATGCAGGCCGCTACAAACCGTGCGATGTGGAAGTCATTGGGGAGGCCTATGTTAAGTAGTGGACGTCCTGTGGCTGAAATGATGATGATGATGAATAAATGATTATATTTTATTTTAAGTATTTACTCGTATTAGAACACCAAGAAGACAAACATGCATACATGGAAATTAATTACTATAACTAAATGTATCATATATTCTGCATACATGAGCACCGAACCGTATATTTTATAGCCTGCTCGACGCAACATGTTCCGTCTTATTCGTTCAAGTCCGCATTACTTAAAGAATTTTGAATTTATTCAAGCCTGCAACATCCCAACTGAGACCTTATCACAACGATTTATTTCTTCGCAACATTGTAATTCTCCGTCTGAAAATCGAACAGAATCAAAACAACTTAAGGTTCAGAGTCCTTTATTCTTTTTACTTCACCGCGAATTTGAAACGTAATATTATTACCTAATATTGTATGCGATTCCGTTATTAACGTATTCGGAGTTCGTTGAACTCGAGTCGGGATTTCGTTTCGATTATCATATCTCATGCGCGAGCGCCGGTGATGTCACGATATGAACGAGCTGGTGCAGCTGATTTTGGACTTTACTCCGACGGTTTAAGAGCTAGGACATAGGTGTGTTACACGCGATCTATGGTATTGACACGATAGCCGTTACGTCTCAATGAATGCTAAAGCCGTTACGCGTGTCAAAGAATGCTGTGGATACACTCTTTCTATGATCTGAGGGATACACAATGATAGTGATTCCCGTGGGCTAACTCGTCTGGAAACATTTATCAAAATCGTCAAATCGTTACACATTAACTCAATACACGCAACTAAACTCGATTCTGCATTTTTCGTTTGGAATAGTACCTACTACCAACTACCTTACCTAAGCAAACACTCACTAACTATGAAGTTAGCCAGGGCACAAAATATAACAGAAGGTAAACTCATGTATGTACTTCGCTTCGCATACCTGGCCAGGGGTTGTGTGTTGAGAGAAAATGTCATTTTCTGCTATTTTCCTTACCACTAACAGTGAAAGTTAATTTTGCGAGGGTTGCCAAAAATATTTTGTTAGTTATTTCAATAAGGACTTCGCAGAAAATGGGACACAAAATTCTAAGTGAAAATCAAGTGCGCAGTAAAAGCAGCGGTCTCAGCAAAGTCAGTATAAAAACGAGGAGTACAGTCAGCGTCAAATAGTTCGTGACACCGAAAGTGGGCAAAAAATTTACAAAACAATCTTTTAGAATTGTAACAAAGACGTGTTTCGAACTTTTGGGCTACTTTGGGTGTCATGAGCTATTTGGCGCTGACTGTACCAGCTTGTTCTTCACAAGGATGTGAGACAATCTTAGTTGAAGGCCGATTACGTCAGAGGCTACCTAAACCGCTCCTAAACTTTCGTCATCGATTGCAAACGAGTTAATAAATAATAAGTTAATTTCATTGCAAAGGACTACAGCACAGAATAAATAACAGAATTAAAAGTTTAAACATTATTTTCTTCCGCCGTTGCGATAAACTCAAAACTACTGAACAGATTGTCATGCCGTTTTCACCAATAGATTATTTCATGAGGACGATTTAGGTATACAATTTTTATGAGTTTGTTGCGGCGCTTCTTCTCAGCACTTGCCAAATGTTGGTCTCGAAGCGCTGGTAGGGTAAAAAGATTATGAGACATGTAGAGGCTCCTTAGGCCTCAGCCTCGAACTTAGCGGGCAGCGGGGCGGCGGCGGCGGCGGCGCGGGAGCGGCAGGATCTTATGCGTAAAATCAAATAGACCGGTTCTCGAAAACAGCGGCGCGGGAGCGGGCAACGAGCGGGCAGCGGCGAGGGAGCGGGCAACGAGCTCCTTCTTTTGCCCACAATAAATCGAGCGTTAGGAATAAATTTGAATCGAAATAAAATTGTCGCTGTTGTTCAGACATTTCGTTCGCGAATAAAAACAAATATCTCGACAACACAACCCCGAACACAACACTTCGCCGCTAAAGCGCCGCGCGAGCTGCCCGCTGGTTTCGAGCAGTGTTGCCAGTCGGGTCTAGTCAGAAATATAAAAAAAAAGTAACCTTTTTGAATAAAAAGTAACCTTCATACGGGGGGGGGGGGGTGCGGAGCGATGATTGTGTAAGGTTGTTCATGGATGGAAAATGAATACAATTGATCATCTAAATACGAAAAGTGACCAGTCGTATAAAAACGTTTCATGGATTTGCGTTTTATTATCGAAAAACATTCGCTAAAACTCATTTTTCTTAACAAATAATAAATCAAATTCAAGTTTAAATGCACTTTATGACATAATTTTTAAATTGTCACTATTAATATTTTTTACTGAATAACCTGTAAAGTTAATTCTACACTTTCTGAAAAATCACCTAAAAGTAACCTTTTCATTAGTGTACCTAACCTAAAAGTAACCACAGCAGTTCAAAAGTAACCAAAAAGGTTACAAAAGTAACCTTCTGGCAACACTGGTTTCGAGAACGGGTCTGCGTTGCCCGCCCCGCTCCCGCGCCGCCGCCGCCGCCGCCCCGCTGCCCGCTAAGTTCGAGGCTGAGGCCTTAAACGATTTAATATGAAGTATTACAAGATGTGCGATCTATTGCATCAATATTATTGCGGGATCCACGAAAATAATAAAAAGAATCCTACATTAGTTAAAAAATAATCATTTTCATAGAAACTCCAAGAACAAAAAGCTTTTGAGACAAAAAAATCATTAAAAAAATTACCAAGTAAGCAATTGTTCGACAAACTGAAAACTTTGTATAATAAAAAAAAATAAATTCAAAAGTTGCATTCGTTTCCTTTCAAACTGTCAAAAACAAAGCTTTCACAATACTTAAAATGCTTTAATTTTAACGATCTACCTAATACCTACCTATTAAGTTATGCAAGAAAAACTGTTTTAGATTTTTAATTCAATTACTTACGTAGTGTACTTAATTAAAACTAAAAGACGTAACCAAGTANAAGTTTGGCTGCGGTCTCAAATTTAGGCTTAATTGATGTATTTTTTGGGTGAGAGGCATAAGAACTAATGCCGTTTTATATCAAAAAATCATACTTAGAGGTAATTTACCAGGTACAAAGTATTTCCTTGTATGTTAGTCTGCCACTCTTTAGTAAGTCCCGAAATCCCCGCTTCGGCTCCCCTACTAACCATTCTAACCATTGTACACAGATAATATCTTACATGCAGCTTTTCATGTTACTACGTCACATTTTCTAAATCCGCGCGGAAAATCGCTCCTAGCGGAAGAGCGCACTTTGAGCTTGAATATTTCAGTCATTTTTAAAGATATCAAAAAAGTAAAAATACAGTATTCATTCTAATTTTTTGGAGTTTTTTTTTGCATCATTAACAAAAATTGTGCGCCATGTCCATTGTTCGACAAACTGAAAACTTTGTATAATAAAAAAAAACAAATTCAAAAGTTGCATTCGTTTCCTTTCAAACTGTCAAAAACAAAGCTTTCACAATACTTAAAATGCTTTAATTTTAACGATCTACCTAATACCTACCTATTAAGTTATGCAAGAAAAACTGTTTTAGATTTTTAATTCAATTACTTACGTAGTGTACTTAATTAAAACTAAAAGACGTAACCAAGTAGGTANACCAAGTATTTTAATCAAAGATTGTCACGATTATTAAATATATCAATGTAGGTATAATAAACTCAAATAACCAGAAGTTGAATAACATTGCGACTTCCAGTAAAATTATTTCGAATCTACCCACTTTCAGAAAGAACAAATTCCCGTTGTTGTCAAACTAACAAGTTAAGCGGAGAAAAATAATGAGGAAAAGAACAGCCAGAAAACAAGTTTTAAATGTGTTTTTTTTTCTATGTGGTACGAAAATTATAATATTATAAACGTAGGTATTTCATATTTTTTTCTTCGAGCTACCAATTTCCTTTATACTTTTCATACAGTTTTATAATTATAATAAAACATGTACACCTTAACTGAACATGCCTATTGCAATGTTTAATAAAACTAACAACTGAACATGCAATGTTTAAAACTAACAAAAATACATTAAACACTTACCTGAATTTTTTCGTTGCAATCAAATAACCACTTAACACAAAAAACAATAAAGTTGCGATTAAAAACAAACTTACGTAAAGACGACACTGTCCGGTCGGCGCCCGGCGTCGACTGGCGGGCACTTTATGTAACTCGGACACCCGCTCACGCGGCGACCGCGACACGACGCGACGATCGGGTCGCAAGCTGATGCTGTTAGACAACTGACGGTCGCTGGTTAAGGATGAGTTGCACCATCTTACTTTAAGTTTAAAAGTCAAAAATCTGTCAAACTCCATACAAAAACACCGGTTATCGTTATAGTTACAGTTAAAGAAAGTTGGTGCAACTCAGCCTAAGAGTAAGCGCACACCGTTGATTTTTAGTTGGCCGATAGTTGTGCCCGATTTTAATTTGTATGAAGAATCAGGCCGATACCAAATCGGTGTAATGTGCGCACTTTCATACATGCCCGAACTGATTAACAGCCCGACCCAACTCTGTCAGACAACTAAATGTTGGTGTCTGCGCCTAGTCTTAGTCGGCTGATAGTTTGGTTGGGCTTTTGATCAGTATGAACATGCATGGAAGTGCGCACATTACATCGATTTGGTATCGGCCTATTCCTCATACAAATTCGAAACCGACTCAACTATCGGCCAACAAAAAGTCTTTAGTCTAAGATGCAATTAAATGTAGTTTAATTTTAAACAGGTTTTAACGCGATACACGGATAGGTAATACTGAAATATTACCTGTATTTGCCTGACGTCTCGGCCGGGTTGCACCGGCCGTGGTCACAGGCTGACTGGAGCGTCGAGTGCGCGATAGAATAGATAGAATCATCTAATTCTACCCCCTTCTCTTTCCCCTTTTCTTCTTCAAGTACCGTCACACACTACATTATTCAAATTAAATGTAGAATGAATATGTTGTTATTTCAACCAAATGACGTCAACTGCTGGACAAAGGCCTCCTCCAAGGATTTTCACAAAGACCGGTCCAGCGCTGCCCGCATTCAGGCATCGCCCTGCATACATAGTACGGACGACGGCACGTCAACGTAACCACTGTGGGTTCTTGTGCAGTTGTAATAGGGGCGAGTTTGCAACAAAAATGGGTAACTTGATGTGCTGTCGTGTGTACCATAATCCGTATCCGTTCCGTACCTACCGTTTGCATTTGAATAATCCAAGTTCAAATAAGATTATTAAGCTAAATCTAAATCCAATCGTTACGCACGTTTTCAAGGGTAAAATTGTTTAGATTCAGTTAAAATGTCAGCCGTTTAATGCTATTAAAATAATTTAATTTATCGTGAAATATGACCGTTACGAACTAAAATTTTTACTGTTGATCAAAATAGCCGAATAGTGTAATAACAAACTCTGATAGAAAAACTTTTTCATGAACATTGATACCAAACTTAATTAGGTAAGTGAGTGCAAACTTACGAGTATAACTTCTTAAATCAGTTCAGTCTGGTTCAGAACGGACTACTATGCCGAGAGGTCCCGGGTTCGATTCCCGGCCGGGCAGAAATTGAAATGATGAATTTTAATTTCTGTGACGGGTCTGGGTGTGACTATGTATAATTTTTATGTATTTAAAAAAAAGTAAATAAGTATATCCGTTAAGCTAGCACCCATAACACAAGCATTAAGTTGCTTACTTTGGGGCTAGCTGGCGCTGTGTGAAATTGTCCAAAGATTTATTTATTTATTATTTATTTAAATAAGTTTATTCGTTTCAAGTTTCAACGTAATGCCGTCCACTGCTGGACAAAGGCCTCCCCCAAGGATTTCCACAACTACCGGTCCTGCGCTGCCCGCATCCAGGTGCTTCCCGCGAACTTCACAAGGTCGTCGGTCCACCGAGTGGACAATTTGGAAAAACATCGAGTACCACTCGAGATCCGAATACAAAATAAAGAGTTTAAAATAGGTCTAGCTAAAGTACTGAATCGGTCGTGCTAAGTCAGTGGTTCTTAACCTTTAAGTCACGAGGGACCATTTTACCAAATTTCTATCTTGTCAGGGACCACTTTTTTTTTCAAAATCCTATGAAAGGGGTTCAAAATCCTATGAAAGGGGAGGTCGATTTCTCGCCCACTGTACGCCATTTGCGTTGTGTTTGCTCGACTCATCACGTCACGTCACTTGTTTATTAAGACGTCTTCGTGGACCACTTGGAATGCCTCCAGGGACCAGTGGTCCGCGCACCACCGGTTAAGAACCACTGTGCTAAGTGGACCGACGATTTGGTAAAGGTCGCGGGAAGAACCTGGATGCGGGCAGCGCGCCTTTGTTCAGCAGTGGACGTCATTTGAACGAAAGTACTGAATTAGCATGTATATCACTTTAAAATCTAGGTAACTTATGAACAAGTCGTCGCCTGTAAACGCTCCTCAATAAGTTAGTTAATAGTTTTGTAACATTCGCTCTTGCTTGTCTAACCGTTTCGTGTCCAGCCTCACACGTCATTGGAAAGTCACACAAAAACTCAGTCTAGCTCTAGTGAAGCATAGTTCGGTCACCGCGCAATATAGGTACGAGTATAACAATGACAGATCAGTCCTTCCATCCTTCCATCATCGGGGAACCAGACGCAGGTTAGCGTACCATCCCTATATTGTTGACATTCCACCAGCTCGCACTAAGCGTTTCGATGACTCTTTTATAATGCGAACAGCTAGGGACTGGAATTCGTTGCCTGCTGCTGTCTTTCCCGAAAACTATAATCCGGGCCTCTTCAAGGCGAGAGTGAATAGGCACTTACAGGGCAGATATGTACCATCCTAGACTGCATCCCACTTAACATCAGGTGCGATTGTGGTCAAATACCTGCCTTGTTATGCATAAAAAAAGTCAGCCAAATGGTCAAATGAAACAATATTTGTGCACACAAAATTATGTTCAACAAGGTGTAACTAAAATAAAGTATGAGTTAGATCACATAAGTATTGATGAACAGTGGAACATAATGTATTATTGTGTGTTAATAATTATTTTAAGACTCCTTTTATTTTTACAGAATAGCACATTTTTAAATGAATTGTTGGTATCGTTTTTAGTTTAGATAATATGTAGTTATATTGTTTTGTCAATAATAATTAAAAATCACGCTCACACTAAATAAAAACACATAATAATTATTATGAAGGTAAAGTTTTAGATTAACAGAACAAAACTCAAGTGAGCGAAGCTGCGGGCAAAGGCTACCTATACAACTTATTCAATTTGAATTTATTTTTCTTGTACTTACTAAGTACAGTCAGTGTCAAATAATTCGTGACACCCAAAGTGGCCAAAATTTTGACAACATAACTTATTTCAAGTAACAATGACATGTTATTAACTTATTCACTACTTTGGGTGTCACGAATTATTTGAGCTAACTATACAGGTGGAATGTGTGAGTATTATAGGGGAAAATAATTAGGAATAAACAAATTGATTTCAATGATTTATTAACAAAACCATCATTTCAATGTAATCATTATATCCCAAACTAATTATTCTACAATAAACTTATCGCAAATCATTACACTAAATAAAACATTTACGTAATATCGAAATTCACGCGAAAAAAAGGACGTCTCATCTAATACCTACTAAAAAAATCTTCATTTCCCTTTTATTTATAAAAAATAGCGTTTATTAAAATATACAATTGTTTTTAACAATTCGGTATTAAAATTTGTTTAAAATTACATTCGAATTTAGTTACATATTATATTTTTGTATAGTAAACATCAATTACTATTTAATATAGGCTGAAGGAAATTAATTTTATAAACTCATTTTATTTGAGTCAAATTATCATTAAAATGAAATAATGCAAATTAAGGTTTCTTAGATATGTTATTTATTAAAAAATATTCACATTACTAATTTAAATTACCAACTTTTACATATCTATTGCACATTTTATTTTGGTTTTAAGATCTAAACAATACTAAATTAAAATAGAACTATATTTTAACTGCTACTCTACGGGTCCATTGAAAAAATTGTCATAACACATAGACTACACAAGTATTGATCATGAACAATCAGCTTCAAATAGTTCGTGACACCCAAAATGTCCAAGAAGTTGACAACACAACCATTATTCCAATTGTAACAAAGACGGGGAGACCTATGTTCAGCAGTGGACGTCCTATGGCTGAGATAATGATGATGATGAACAAAGACGTGTTGCGATCTTTTTGGCTAGTTTGGGTGTCACGAACTTTTTGACGCTGACTGTACCTATTTGTCCTACTACATACGTGCAACATTTTGCATGCAACATGTAGATTAATTCAATATACAGTTGATGAATGAATGTAAGTACAGTTCGACAATTTTTTTCGACACTAAATTGTCGCTGGAAGTCCACTTTGATCACCTGGGTGATCAAGGCCAGGTGATCAATGTGGAATAGACTAATTATTTTAGCAATACCTATTTCAATAATTATACAGAATAATCGTATGGCAGTCTTTCGGTGGTTATGGGGTATAACATTGCATAATTTATTATTTTCTCTTCTCTTCGTAAAATATTGGTGTTGTTGTCAACCAGTTATTATGTAAAAACTCATTCTCGTCTTCTATTCATAGTACAACAATGGATACTTAGTTTTAAACCAATTAAGGATGTTATGGATATGTAGTTTCGGTTACGGATACGGTTATGGATAAAGGAATAATATTATACCGGTTTCGGTTAGGGATATTTTTTTATTTCGGATATCCGAAAGTTTCGGTTACGGTTACGGATATCAGTGCTTTAGAATGCAATTTGCAATAGTTGTCCAACACGGTTCATTCATGGCCGCACACTTTACAACGAATAAAAAGTAATAAAAACATCTAAATTGGTACTAGATGGCATTATAAAGGTAAATCAGGCTGTTATGCCTTTACAAAAAACAATTTAAACTGCCTACATCCGAAAGTTTTGAGTTTCGGATATTTTTTTATTTCGGATATCCAAAAGTTTCGGTTACGGTTACGGATATCCATAACATCCCTGAATTTAATCCTGAAAAGAAAAAAAATCTTGTGCATTACTTACATGATTCCTCAACATACATATTTCTATGTAAAGTTTGTACATGACGCTCATGTAACAATAGTAAACACAATTTGTTATTGTAACGATTTATTAAGGCTTCATTAACAAGGTTTATGTGCTATGCCGAATCGATTACTCCTGATTGAAAGCCCGAAATAAATTGTTTACATTTGATTTATTTTTATCCGACGAACCGCAACTATTTTTGCTTTCAACGAGATCTTAGATAATGTCTTATAATACAACTAGCAGCCGCCCGCGACTTCGTATGCCTGGATCCCGTTTTACCCCCTTAGGGGTAGAGTTTCGTATAATCCTTTCTTAGCGGATGCCTACGTCATAACATCTACCTGCATGCCAAATTTCAGCCCGATCCGTCCAGTGGTTTGGGTTGTGCGTTGATAGATCACTAGTCAGTCAGTCAGTCAGTCACCTTTGAGTTATATATATTTACATGCATGTAATCTATTTAAGACTTGTTTGATTTGATTTGAATGTAGCTGTCTCCTTAGTAATTCTTGCCACTAGGTCGGCGCTACTATCACGACTTTTTAAATGATGTAGACAGAACATGACATTGACTTTTTTAATTCCTTTGTGGGGAATAGGAACTACAACTCGTTCCGAGTTAACTGCGTACCTGGCAGTCGTGACGTCACATCGCCGCTCTGGTACGGACGGGGTGAATGCGGGGAGGTGTGGGAGGGAGAGTCGTATTCCAGCTTAGTGCGCAGTTAGCTCGATTGGGTT